GCTTTTGGATCAGCTGAATACAATGTTTAGGTGCACCTGTGTGGTATGTGTAGAATGCGTTTTGATACTATTATTATCTAATTCACAAACTTTTCAAAAAAATTAAACCCAGGCCTATAAATAATTTATAGAGGTTGTGGCATTGTCATCTGGATATTCTTTGGTGATTGTGAGATTGTCAGGATATGAGCCTGGGACCATAGGGACCGAAGACCACACTAGACCAGCTCGCTTTTTTACTGTTTTAATATTTTATATTCATGTATCTAGAAGTTGAGTTGCTATGTTGCTTGTCTTGCTAATTAGAAGGTTTCATGTGTGATCCTGAATAGCATTTACCATTTGATGGTTTAGGGATGAGGGTGTGTTGCAAGCCCAATGGTTATCGTTCTGTAAAGTTCTTTGATGCGGGAGGGACAGGTTCAACTCCTAGCACATCCACTAAAGAGTTGTCAATGCTGAAGAGGACCTGGTCCTATAACAGGCCCAGTCCGGAGAGTTTTGGCTCCATGTATTTAAATATTTCGATATCAAGCTTTTTGCCTTAAAAAATCTTCCAGGTCTGGCTTCAATAATAAAACCAAAGATTGCAGATAAAACTAATAAGGGCATCTCGCCTACACTATACTCATTTTTAATTCTAGAGATGAAGTACACTTATCTTTATCACCATTTATATATTGTGATAAAAAAAACAGTTTTCAAATCATTAGAGCTTTATATGTGGTACTCAAATAGTAGAGCTCGAATTTTGGAACTCAAATTGTGTAGATTCTAATTGTAGAACTCAAGTTGTAGAGCTCAACTTGTAGAACTCGATTTTTTCTACAATAGTTAACTCCCATGGAGAGTAACAACACAATATAGTTGACTGTATATATATCATAAACAGTATTTCTCTTACCAGAGCTACATAGTTGGTGATATCACAGCTAAATACAGTTCAGTAATTGGATATATCACAGGGCTGCAGATTTCCACTAATACGACATGTGACACTCCATTGATTACTTTTTAACAAAATCAGACTGCAAGTGATCCAGTAGAATCTGATTTCTCTTGAAACAATATTAATTTATTAATTAGTTACCATTTGATTATTATTAGTTAACTATTAATATAACTTAATTATTAGTTTACTATAGTTATTTGTGCAACTAGTGAGAAAAGTGAGCAATTGACTCACTCGAGAGAAATCCTTACTAACGAGCCGTAGGCGAGTGAGGAATGGTTTCTCGAGTGAGGCAATTGTACTTTGAACTCGAGTTGCACATTATACTTTTCCTACAGTTACCATAAAACAAATAAATTGGTGAAGAAACATAACCTATTTTTACACAGAAGTGAACTTTTAATATAACATTTAATGTGAAGTGACAAATACAACAGTACAACAGCTGACCAGCTGATTTACAGCCAGTGCTGCCAACGTATTTTGCGCGCATACGACGTTGCCTGCATGTTACGCGCTCACTATTTCGTGCCTTCACGTTGCAAATCTGGAGTGAGACAAAGTAATTAGAGTGAGACAATGTTATCATTGTCTCACTGGTGAGCGAATTGGCCACTTTGCTTTCTCAAATCAGTGAGAGAACATGTATATTGTTAGGTAACTGTAGGAAAAAAGCTTTACTCAGTGTATATATTGATTTTAAAATGTTAAAACATGTTAAAATGCACACATTTTGCTTTGCTTCATTGACAAAGCCTAACAATATTTAAAGGTCCAATTTCAATACTTCAATATTATTGTCGGGACCACGTAAGTTTGCAGTTGGTGGCAGCCAATCACAAGACAAGGCTAGTGACGTAAGTTTGCAGTTGGTGGCAGCCAATTACAAGACAAGGCTAGGGCGACGTTGCTAAATCGCCCATTGACAACTCTAATTAAAATATAAAAGCAATATTTTCAAATGGCTGGTATTATTAGATTTAGCAACACCGCACCGTTCTCATTGGTTCATTCAAAACCATATGGTAAATAGGCTCCTCCCTCAACTGCAAACTTATGTGGTCCCACAATAGTTTTTTTATCCATGATTAAGAAATTGCTTGGTTGTGTTTTGGATTCCAGTAATTGTAAATTTATTTAAGTATAAAGGGTGCCTTATAAAAGTAACTTGCTCATATCATTTATTTGGTATTAGCAAATACTGTAGTAGACAACAGAAAGTTTTAAAGTACACCTATAAAAACAGTATCTAATCTGCCTGATTAGATTTACACTAAATGTCTACGTATAACATTTATTTCGTATTTAACAAGAATTAGTTTAACAAGTACTTAGGTTTGCTGCATCAGGGAGGGTAAAACTGTGTTTTTTTATGTTAATAGTTATCAAGAAATAATAGTAGTTTACGCAACGATTGCGTTAAGTGAGTCTTTACGACACGAGTAGAATATTTAAGGCACGAGCCTTGGCGAGTGCCTTAAAAACTTCTACGAGTGTCGTAAAGACTATTAACGCGAGTTGCGTACACTACTTTACCTACGACCGTTTTTTTAATTACTATCAATCTGGATTTAATTACTAACAATCACTACTGATAACTTTTTAGAGAGGTTATGTTTTCGTGTATTGTCATTGCCACTGAAAGTGATGCAACGACTTGTTGTATAATCAGCTGATTTCCTGTAATTACGTGTTTGTTAAACTTCGTTAAATATTACATTGCTAGCAGCATTCTTACCATAAATAATATTGTATCAGGTACAATTCGGCAAATATTTCATTTATTTTTGGACTTCCACCAACTTAATTAAGAATACGCGAGTATCAACATGAACAAGTCGGATCAACAATTAAATTGGTCAACTGATCAGCTGATCAGCTGTAAAGTGAAACTTTTCAATTCTAAGAACTGGACTGAAATGGCTACTTTAAAAAACGGTCGTAGGTAAAAACATTTTCCAAATTTGATCAAAATATGTTCATAAGTGAGCAAACTACAACAGTGTACTTGTTCTCCATAAGAATAACATAGGAATAGTAAATAGAAATTTTTAGGGAATTTTCTCCGTAACCATTAGGCGGATAATAACACTTCAATATACTAAGTTATTTGTTTTTTGAAGCTCTACAAAATGGTTTGGAAATAAATTGTTAAATTTTATGTTTTTTGGGTAAAAAATGGAAAAACCCTATTTTTACCCCATAAAACCCCCCATAAACCCCCGTTCCCATAGTCCGATCATCCTAGTTCGCGAACTCGTTCGAATAAATGTAGGTTTACACGTTTAAACCAAATTTCATCAAAATCTGATCATTTTTGCTTGAGTTATCGTGCTAACGAACATTCATATATATACCAAATAAATTCATATACTCGTATATATATATATTTAAACAGGAATGTGTGTTTATTATAATATTCACTCTCCTTGCAAACATTATATATATGAATTTGAACCGATGGTGTTTTTTGCCTCTAGGGACCTCAAAGCAAAAAAAAAAATCGGTCCCACATCCAGATCTTACCATGAGTACTACGGTAATAGCTTATTCCCTACTTATTATATGGGAAATTCGCTAAAAGGTGCCACCTGCAATTGTTGAATTATCCAAGATTTTCCACCATTAAACACAACGTTATAAAATCACAGGTATAATTCAACCAAGAACAGACTTTGAGATGAAATGACAGTAACCTTTTGTTCCACTACTGTAGCAACTGATATAGAGTTATATATTCCACAAACAGATGTAAAAGTAGTACACTTTCTTCAAAGGTAATTTCTTGTTTCATTCAAGCCTTTGAAATAAAATCTTCAAAGGACTTAGAAGACAGGTAGTTTATGGAGTCGCCTTGGAAATGAATATTTTAATTAGCTGCTTTAAAAGAAGTGAATTCAAGAAGATTAAAGAGAGAGCTAAGCTTGATGAAGTCTCTGACAAGGTAATAGTAATAGCATCTCTTATCTGAGTTAATAAGGAAGATGTTCTCATCATCTTTGGGGTTATTTGTTTTGGTTTTGGAAGTTGCAAAATTAAGATTACATTAAGTTTTTTATAGGAAAATACATTAAATGACATTTTTAAGGAATTATTTGTTTTTTAGTGTCATATAACAATCACACATTATTTATTTTATTAATTTACAGGCATTGTTTGTTTGAATTGTTTTAACGTTAATAAATGAATATAAAATGTGAATGACACGACAAGTTGATTAGGAACTACCTTGAATATAAATCGAGTACCAAATTGATCATGATATTATAATTGTATTGTACATGAACAGTCTAGAAAAAAACAATCATTAATTTAAGTATGAATATAAATATATTTTTTAATACTGTATCTATTTTTAACGAAGGAGAAAGTATAAAATACAATTTACTCTGCATAAAAATACCCAAGATATTCTATGATAAACATATTATTTTCCTTTTGTTGTGTACTCTGAGGATCATAAGATTGTTTTTATATAAGGAGGCTCAAGATGGGGTTTTGAGTTTTGCTAAGATGTAAACATACTTAAAGGTTGGTAGAGGAAAAATTTCACCACACTTAGAATAATAAACATTACTTTTGAACATTTGTTAAATAAGTTGAACATGTACAATGCTTCTAGGCAAAACTAACTCAAATATTATATAGTTGTCATCTAAGATGTAGATGAAAAGAAAACCATTGATTGTTATTATGTCTTCAGAGCTAACCAATGTTATAAACAATCATTAACACATGATTAATGGCTGTAAAAAGCAATTTCAGCAAAGCAAATACATCAAACCACAAATATATGTAATCAATTACATGATATTCCCAAAACAGAATGCAAAATGTCCTAGCCCAGCCCAACAAATGTACTCTGTGGTTCACTGTGGTCAGGTAATAAAAAAACAACAATATATGGCAACAGCTAAAAACAATTTTATAAAAACATATTTTACATATTTAAATAACTAAATTACACAAATATATCAACAACTTAACTTAACAATGTACAATGTTTACACAAGTGTCGGAGGTGTTATCATCAACCATCCTAGGAGTTTCATCGTGCGATGACCATCCGTTCGCTAGGCCTCCGTACTAGGGCGGAGCCTGGGAATGGCGGTGGCGGAGGCTGCATCATGGAGATGGAGTCTTTCCGCTGGTGACGTTGGAGGGTGAATTCCCCGCCATGTCCAGTACACCCCCCTCCTCCCACCCCTCCTGCACTGCCCCCACTGCTGTGGCTTTGATGCCTGTGGAGAGACTTTAGTGAATCTTCATAGCTGCCACTGAAACACAGCGAATCTTGGCTTAGTATTGGTCTAAAAACTTAGATCCCTCGTAATACTCATGGACAATCATGGGAATGATATTAGCCTGGAGGTTAGCATCTCCACCTTTGGTGTGAGTGACAGTGACGGGTTCGATTACCAATCTATCTACAAAAACTGAGGGATTTACACCACTTTACTTTGAAAGTAATAATGGTTCTTCATTATAAAATATCACTTGTGTGGACAATAACAAATAAAGATAAATAAAACTTAACACTTCTTTGAGTGTTTTTACTGAATTGCATTAGTAATGTGTGTTTATTATAATATTCACTCTCCTTGCAAACATTACCGGTATTCTCTTTGCTTATGGTATACATATTCTTGTCCTCCATATGGATGGTTTATAAGTACGGTAATCAATACAAATATAACGGTGAATATTCATGAACAGTGTTACTTATTTAGGATATTCCCTTTAAATTTACCCAACAATCCATAACTTGTTGAGTATACAGCATGCAATTATTTTTTGTAAATATTTGCCAAACAAGTCTTGAAGAATATCTTTTTTACAATTGAAAAAGTTGTGACGTTGAAGCCTAAATTATTCTCTATACAGTAAAATGATTTCTAATATATTTACTTAAATAGTTAAGCTAAGAATGAACTCGTACAATTCTGGAACATTCAGAACTAAAAATAACTAACAGTTGATTTATTTTTTCAAGTTTCTCCTTTTCCAAACACAAATTAAATTGTTGAGACATTGCAAATTTAAATAAATGATTCTAGGAATATTCCAAACAAGCTCCACAAGTCCAGTGGTGGTCCAGCAAAGATCACACCATGAGTATCGTCACTCACTTGCTACTGTTGGCAGATGAGTGCGAGGTTGAGTGTCCGCAGGCGCAACGTCCGCGTCTGCCAGGGTCTCCTATGCCTGAGTCACGTGCACTCGAATGTAGCGACGCCAGTGACAGCTCCAGCATCTGCTGAGTACCCATAACAATAATTAGTAGGTAATTTATCATGTAATTAAAATATTCACTAACAGAGTGATCTTTTTAATGTTTTTTGAACCCAGTGACAAGACCTGTATTATACAGTAATTTAGGCAAAATAGGTAAATGATCTTTTTAAGTTGAAAAAACTCTAAAACTATATGGGTAAAGTCTTGTAAAGTGCAGATTCTTACACTAAGGAGCAAATGGGTGCTATTTTGCAGCTGTGAACATTTTATTTTATTTGTGGGCCTGTGCATTACTGGAAAGCACCTTAAGTTTGGCTTGTATTACAAATTTTGATGGGTTCCAGCTTAATTTACACAGGTGTACCTTCAATATTTAGCTTGAAAGTAATGAGACTGATTTTTTGTAAACCACATGTCATAAGCTTCACAATCAAATACATCATTGCTAAAATGGGATATACCTCCCTCCTATCCTACCCGAGGAATGACCATAGGTTCAGACCACAGCCTTCATTCCCTATGAACCTTGTTGTGTAGAATGTGTCTGAAAAATGATCTGACTCTTGTGACATGTCAATATTTTTAGTGGCATTGAGCTGATTCAATGGAAAGATGTTGACCCCTATGACAGGGGAAAATGTCAAGGTAATTAAGAAATCAAAGGATTCAGCCCAACAATCTAAAAATCTGCTTGAGTATGGAGAAGACACACCTTCTCCATAAGACTAGACATCAAATAATAAATTTTAGAATGTTGTATGTGACAAATATTAAATGTCATTACTTTCTTTCTGCAAAGAGTTGGCACCCTATCTTAATTACTGACTTTTTAAACTGATTTGAGGTAACCATGCAATATAAAAAATGTCAACTACTTCCTTCACGAGTGACTGGCATTATAAACTAATTAATTCATACAAATTAAAAATATGAGTTGAGAATTTACCTTAGTGGAAGGTGAACGTGCAGGTGCGCGCCGGCGAGAGTGATGGCGCACACAAGACGGCGCATGACGGTGTCTCCCGTGGCGCATGTGGCGCGCACAGTCTGATCTCTGGGAGATATAACTGTCTGATGTATCCTCGACAAAGGCCCCAGAGTAGAAGAGGGAGCGAGGCTTACAGTCCAGACGTTGCTTTGACATAGAGAGGTCGATGCTGTTTATGGGGTAGCCGCCTCCCATCTTTTTACTTCTGCAGAAAATGTATTTTCAATTAAAATTTGTATGATGCAAAAATTGTTTCCTCTGTTTTGTACTGGTAAATTTCTAGTGTTCACACTATTTTGACACAATCCTGCCGTTTGGTATGGGTCCTACCTAAAGGAACCCAACAATCATGAGTGTTTGGTTGATTCCCAAAAATGTAGCGATATACACAAAATTAGTTTTTTAAATGGAAGTATAATAATTGGTTATTCCAGTTTAGTAAAGTAATCAAATCACAACCTATAGGGAACTAGGGAACAAATTATACTACGAAACTTTAATTGGAACAATGTGTGGTGAAATGAGTTTGTGTGAGTGTTAATTAAGATACCTGGGAAAAATATTAAAAGATATCAGATCTAATTTCAGAGGTTATTAGTTGCTTTGTTTACCGAGTTCCATCTCAAAACAAGCCTAGGTTTATTTCAATTATAAATCCAAACATAAGTTTTGTCACAGTGCACTTTTTTGACAATCTCCGCAATCCTTTTAACCTACAATGTACATAAATACCATAAGAAATCAAAATATTTTAACCAACCAACCTCTTCTTGCTGAGACACACGACACAGAACGCCGCAGTGAGGGCTCCTAAGAAGACGACACATCCGAGAACTATAGTCACCACCTCCAGCCCTGTGAGCAGAGGGGCCCGTGGGGGATGGGGGATGGCCCGGGGCGGAGAGTGGTAGACTGCCCCAGTTCCTGCAACCTCCAGCACATGCAGCGGCTCCAGACTACGCTTCACCTCATCCTGTCTTGAGCTTAGGACTCTGTAAACAACAAGACTCTGTGAATACAACAAAGTTGCAAATGCATATATTTTTTGTACAGATAAGTTTAATTATCTTACTAGTAAAAATATAATCTATATAAATAAAATTACAGTTTTGTATATATATAAATATGGAGAAGGACTGACCAAGGGACAAAGTACATTGTTATCTAGAACAAGTTTAACTCTATGAGGTGCAGACAAGCCAAATTTTCCTGGCTTTTGCAGCAAGTTTGTTTCTAAAATGTTGTAAGATTTTGTGATTTTTCAAATAAATAAAAAAAAATAAAATAAAATAAGAGTATTTGAATAATCTCAGATATAGAAGCCAAAATAGTTATTCACAGTTAGATGACATTCAAAACCTCAACTTACTCATTCAATGTCTCCATGTCTACAATAACATTCATGATAGGGTCCACAGCATACAGGTACATGTCCGTTCTGAAACAACAAAACCCATTTGTTTTATAACGGAAAAAAAAGACAAACTTACAGCTAAACCCCAACCAAGGAAATTGTTTGAGTGTTCTTTCTTATGAATAATTTCTTTTTGTGAATAAAAATTTTAAAACTAAGTTACAATTACTGTTTATTTAGCTGAATATAAAATATGGGTTGCCGTAACAAAATTGACAGTAAAAAGAATTTTCTAGTTAATTGAAGAAGATAATGAAAAATTAACAGTTATGAGTGTAAATAGTGTAATATATGGGCCAGAATGGTTTAAAGTACCTTACTTTGTTAGGTTATCCTTCACTAGAAGTACCTACACTACTATAGTTTCGGACCCCTAGAGTCCATCATCAGGTGTGACCAAAACATCTAGTAATCCGTTCAACGTTCTGAAGTTCGTTAGTTCCGTTGAAAACAATGAAAAAGAAGTTTTCGCATCAAATGGAGCAGGGTAATTTGAACCATTTTAGCACAAATGTAGTGTTACAGAACCTTTCACACCATATTTGAACATATTTAAACAGAACAACTACAGGATGTTGAAAGTCTGAGCAAAATCGTGTGAAATCTGAAGATATGTGTTTTGGTAGTCAATGAATGTTTAGAGATTCAGATATTACATTTAGTATAATGATGGAAGGTTAAATAAATGCCATCACTGTCATTCATACGGTATCAAGAAATATTTTTAAAGAAAGTATACACTATTTTTACCATTTTGTCATACTTACGCATCCGTATATTCCCCTGTGTCCTCTTTGTGCGGTTCTAGCATTCTCAATCTTACGTCCAGTCCAGTGATGTTAGATAGGACTCTGCATATAGAACAAATCAATCAATCAATTTTAGTGATAGTTTTACAACATAGAGTAAAAAAATTTTAAATTATTTAGTACCTGTTGCTGACCCACAAAACATTGGTAATTTTTTTAGAGTATTGAGTTCAAGTCTAACATTTATTGATTTGATTACTGAGTTCTAGCCAGTGGTAAAGTGGTGTAAGGTAGTGGTGCGGAAATGCATTGGAACCCACTCTGCTTTTTTCCAAAGAACCAGTATTGCCAACAGACCCATATTTCTCCACGACAAAATGATGACCTTTCCAGGACTGGAAAATTATGACCAAAGTCTTAGCAAAAAAAAAAAGTCTTAGCAGGCCCAAAATAATATTAGAGGTCATTAATCAAGCAGTAATTTATGCTACACCCTAAAATAAAAGTTAAAAAGGAAATAAAATAAATGATACTCTGTACATTTACATTGCATAATTTTTTTAATATAGGAGGCGTAATAGTATTACCATAAAAAGTAACTTTTTTGTAAATCATAGTGGATTGCAGTTTTAGATTTTTCAAACTACATACATACACTTCTCTCATTCAATAGATGTGATTACACAGGAAGTATGTTGCAATGACTAAATGTGTTAAATATTGTAAATAAGTTAGAAAACGCATTACAATTTTGTTAATTGAGTAATAATCTTACTTTGTTATGTTATCCACATGATCCTCTACATCAATTGGCTTAGCGTTCATAATCAATGCAAGTTTCTTCTGTTCATTCAATACATAAACCTGGAAAAAATTAATTCATTTAACTACAAAACATTGCAACATTTAAAAAAAATAGTAAGATAGTACTGTAGTGGTTTGTATATTATCCTATGCACATTTCACCAACTTGTGTGTCATCTTCATGGTGTCTTGTTATATTGTAGGACCATCGTTATCACTTTAGTCAATTTATTTATTTGATACACATTAAACTGTTGGTAACTGTACAACAACATAAGACGCCTTGAAGATGTCACACAAGCTGGCGAAATGTGCATAAGATAATATACAAACTACTGCATTAAAAAACAAAGGCAAAAAATTGACTACTTAAAAAGCCATCTTAATTTTAAATATCAGCAATTAAAGTTTGTTTTTTAATCTCACTCCATTTGAATTTAAACCCAATACAAACAATTCTGTATGATACAAATTGAAAGCATGATTGGTAACCGTACTAAGTTGCTAATAACGTCTGATAATCACGCTGAATAGCAGCCATAAAAGAGTTAGCAAACAGTTCAATTGGGGAGTAAAGTCAGCAAAACCGACTGCAACTGCTTTGTTTCTGTTTCATATCTGTTTGTGATTGTTCTTCATGGAGCCAACTTCAACAGCTTACCGCTTGCTAAGCTCTCCGCAAACAGTTCCAAACTTTATCTTGCTTTAAACTCTATTTAACTCGGTTATAGAAATGGGTATATTTCTATTTATGATGAAAATGTGAGAAGAAAGTTAGCTGTCTTAATGAAAAATTGTGACCATTTTTGAAAAGTGGAATTCATATTTTTTATATCAAAAAAATTGTTGAAATTCTTCATTTACTGTTTTCTCTTAATTTAATAGACTCTGAGTTACCAATGGGGGCACAGTTATGTTGTTCAACCTGTATAGGCATTACCATCACATACCTTGAAATTATGGGTGCCCACAGCAGGCAAAGGTAGCAACAAAAATTTAATTTAAAATTCAAAATGTTCTTAAACAATTTGTGTCGACAAATAAGTGTTTTTGAAAAGTTTTAAGGACGTTTAAAGCCTTTACACAGTAAACAATAATGTTTTAAAGTATTTTTTGCAGCTTGCTGTATTCAAATAAAGGCCCGTTTCTCATACCCCTAAAACAGGATACTGGTTTCCATATTATAAATAAAATTCCTGCATGCGTTCATGGTTGAAATTTATTCCATCTCATAGGTAGGGTTAATCTAAGCGTAAAAGAAAATATATTTAGCTATGATTTTGTCTCAGATTCACTTACAAAGACGTTAGCAATGGCTGATCGTCCATCGTGTGCTCCTGCCCGATCGGTAGCCTTGACGTCAAACCCGAAAACATGTCCAGCCTGGTGTGCGAAGCTAGCTACAGCTCTTACATGACCAGACACAGCATCTATGGTGAAGTAGTCTGCCTCTCCTCCAAGGATCTGGTAGCGAACCTCTGCGTTCAGCCCTTCGTCTGCGTCTGTTGCCTGAGGCGGAGGAAATAATTGTTCTTGAGTACTCTAATTCCTATACTCCATGTTAAGATAAATCTTGTGGAGATAACTAATCCTTGAGCGATATCTTTAAAAAATGAAGCGTTTGTTCACATGTTTTAAGATGAAGCCTGAAGTGTTTAGAAATGAAGTAGAATTGTGCCACCAACAGAGAGTTTTTGGGAAATACAAATACATAAACTATTGACCAAAACAAACCAAAAGGCACATCAACTATCATAGTGTAACATAATGTGTGAAAAAAACATATTTTACACACTATTGAACAAATCACACTAACAATTTAAATCAAACATAAAAACTGTAGTAAAGACAACACAATAATTGAAAGTACACAGCACTACATAGCTAGCCCTTTATCCATCTACGCTAATAAAATATCTTTTGTTATGTAAAAATCTATAAAACACAAACCTATCAACATAAATCACAAACTTTACATATTTATCTCTTAGGAGACCAACTTACAATTTTTCGGAAGTTGTTATTTGTTGTTAAAAAAAGATAAACTTCTGTTATATCTGCAGTTTAACACTAATACCGAAACCCTACCTAGGCCAAACCGAAAACCGTTAACCGAAACCCCTGGTCTGTGAGACCCCATTTGAAAAATAATGGACCCCGCTTAGATACACACAAACCGAAACCCTCGGCCTGTGAGACCCCGCTTTAAAATACACTAACGCTGGGCGTCTGAGACGGGCATGTTATGAACAGACATCCTGTCAAGGTCTGACAGGACCCCATGCACAAAGGGGGTTCAAGGCACCCATGCGAAATGAACAAACCAAACAGTATATCAGGTAGGGGAGGAAAAGGGGGAAAGGTATTAGGTATTGGGGGAATGGAATCTCCCAAGTAAACAGTGTTGCCATAATGCGTTTGTGAAAATTCCCGTGGGCTTGTCAGACCGGGGTTTCGGTATTAGTGTTAAATAAACGATAATCTCTATAACATAGCAGAAACTGTTCAATGTACTGTACCCCAGTCCTACGCAGCACGTCATAAACTATATAGAGTAGGTCTATAAAGGTTAAAAAAAATATAAAAGCCAAATGCATAATCAGTATAGATGTAATTTTAGACAAGGAAACGTAAACAAACAAGAAAAGGGTGAATTTGTTTACCTTGAAGTAAATAATAAAATATTGAGAGCCAGATTAATCTACTGTCTTTCAGTCTTTACACGTGTATCAAGAGATACGTCTCTTAACCTTGACTCTTATATCTAGTTATCTCTATATTATACTCTGGAGGACACAGCTGATTGACAATATCCCTTACAGACACAATTTATTTTATACCCTATCAAGATATCATTGATTGCCTTTCGTCACACATTGGGTATATGGAACACTGCTATTATTTTTCCATGGTTTGATGGTATTTGAAACCGCCAGTGTAAGCTAGTTAATGGGAAATATAAATGGAAAATGTTTGCTGCTGGTATATTTGATTATGTTAAAAGATTATAATTTAATTTAAATATTGGTGTACTATATCTTTGTGCAAATTACTACCAAGAACGCAATAGTGCGTAAGGAATAATGTCTGATTGTGTTTATACACATTTGTTAGTTGTGTTTAATAAATTAATTTAAACGTTAAAATTGTTTTTTGTTTTAAATTATCATAGTTTACAAGCATGTGATAATGAAAATCTAGAAATTGTATACCTCCTGACATAGTGAAATTTGTTTAAATAACAATCGTTGAAAGAGGTACAATTATTTGTTTGAATATTTGTGTACTTGATGGTTTTATTATCTTTTTCCCTGTAACTGTTTAAGTATTACTCCCTACATAAGAGTTGAATGAGTTGAATAATAAATGTGAAACACTGTTGAGATTTCTCTATGATTTCTAGTTCTATCCATTGGTATTTACAGTTGAACTTCAAATCATAAAATGTAACAAATTAATTGTAATCAAAGACTGCTAGATATATAAGCTTTTTGAGAATATAACATCCTTTGTATATTTACCTAGCAAGGATTGGGGGATAACTTTTAATGCTACACATATACATTAATATCCTATTGACTGTACCAGGATATAAATAAAGTCTGGTATAGAGAAAGCTGTAAGCTTTTGTTATTTTTCTAATCAAGGGCCAGGCTTGTTTTTCATTCTCCCATGCTTGTTATTATTAGCTTATTGTGCCCCTGCCTACATGAAAACACTTATCATCCAAAATTGTTAAATTGCTAAACTTTTGTGATATTTTCTTTTAAAAGATATTTTGAGATGGAAAATAACTCTTCAAAGCTGTTGGAATTTATCAAAATTAACATTGCTCTTGGCACACAAATCCAAGATGGCCGTTGGCTTCCATGGACTCCCATGGAGAAAAATTAAAAACTGAGATAGCCTCCAAGGACTCTTATGAATTTCTCTACAAGTTTACCGAAGGGCTTGCACGAATAGCCAACAGGCAATATGTTAAAGCTCTTTCCTCCTCCTCAAAGCATTTTCTGCAAAAGATGTCCTCAGCTAAAATTCCCATCTTATTAAAGTAATATACTCATTGGCCTGTGAGATACTTCTTAGCATGCATTGAGGGATAGTTTGTTTATTTTGTTTTACACAACAGATACCAGGACATACCTGAAGCCTTGCGATGGGGAAGCCGTAGGTGGCCGAGGTGGGAATGGCTGCCACAAGAGGTCGTCCGTTCAGGGGAAACTGGGGAGAGTTGTCATTGGCGTCCTTGATCCTCAATACCACCTTCACCTCGTTCGGAGCTGAAACCATTCCAAAACTGATGTTTACTTTTCATAAGTGACTCACAGCTTAATGCATAGCATTTGGAAACAATGGTAGAATGTTGAAAGTATCCAATGTCTACAGCTACCAAATATATGTTAATATTTTTATAACAATATCATAGGGTTGGATTTTTAACATTTTGATTTTGCTCCGACATTTAAAAATTAAAGATTTTTGCAGTTTTTGATAATCACAGTTTTTAAAGCATGTTACCCACCACTACAATGTTTTTTTTTCATTTCTGAAGTTGTTTAATATACTGATGGATATTGTCTAAAATCCATCTTACAGAAATGTATAAAAGTTGCAATACTTCTTTTACAAGAGTCTCCCATGTATATGACAACATCATTGTTAATGTTATAGCCTTAAATTTAAATTGTAAGCCACATTAAAGACAGTAGCATTATCTCAATCTTCATGTTCTACAACTGAATTGTATTAGGCTACGCTACAACTGATCAGGATCATCCACTTTTCCAAGGTGATATATGTCCAATACTTGAAATACTTTTTTCATGGATACAAAAGAGGGTAGCCTACTTACTTCTGTTTTCCTGCCGTTAACATATACCACAGTGTCTTAGGAAAGCCTGATTCAATTGTTTTCATAACAATTGTGTGGTTACAATGTAAAAAATGTACTACAGTAGACTCCCTCTCATCCGGACACCTTTTAACCGGACATCGGTTTAACCGGACTACAGTGGACGGAAATGACATCTCTTTAACCGGACAATTATTATCGGCACATTGGTTTAACCGGACTAGATCGGCAGGAAGTGGGCGGTACTGTAACGACTGTTCTCGTGGGAAAGATTTGAGACCAGTAATCACATGTCTAAATACAATGCTCTAATAAATTTAAGTAGAATATCACCGTAAACGGTCCATTTTAATGAGTTTTTGGGGACGTCGGCTTAACCGGAAAAACCGTTATCTGGACTGGCCTCGGTCCCGAGGAGTCCGGATAAGAGGGATTCTACTGTAATTCGATTCAACGCTTGCAAGACGAAGGGGCGTTTGATACGCCCCTTTGTCTTGCAAGTGACAAATTTCTATGATTTGGGTTTACTTTCATTTTGTAAAGATGATGAAAGCATTACCCAAGTCGGTGGATGAGGCAGGGAAGATCATGTGGGGAAAGCCTCTGGACTTCTTGACTGGGTTGACTTGAACTGTCACCTCCAGACGAGTGACTTTCTCTCTGTCTGCGTTGATCATCAGATACAACGATCCATTGAACCTGCCACAAATCTGTGTGTTAGCTGTACAGTTGTTAGTTTTGATTCTTTTAATATTAAAGGATATTGATATTGGTAGTATATAGTGTGTACTACAATCCTATTGAGGACTAGGAATTGATTTTTCTCTGTCCACTAATAAAATTGATGTCTAAGTTGTTTTGTACAGTCCGGATAATTGTGTTCTTTTACTTTATTTTAGACCAAAATATAGTTATCTTAATTGTGCTAAATACTACCAGGTCCATTATTTTTTCCCAACGATGAGTTCAAATTGCCACAAAGCCAAAAGTACAAAAAAGCTTTGATGCTGCCTTCGTTAATTCATTGCAGCACAAGTAACAGAGCAGTACCAACAGATTCAGTATCTGTATTTAAAAGCACAAAGTATACTCCAGGGCCAATTTACCGAATAGGCATGGTAGGCACGTGCCTATGGCGAGAGGCAATTATTTTTTTTAGGGGGCACCGAAAAATTGGAAAGTAAAAGAATAGTGGTTGTATTTGCATGCGATAGCGGTAGACTTCTGTCAATCCCTCCGGGCCGTGTAGACATCGTAATTGTTCCCCACGATCGCAAAATACTCACTCCCACTTGCAAATTCGAATCCTGTCGCAAAATTCTGACTGTTTCCCGTGGTTGAGTAAACATTATTATCGACTTTCATGATCACGGAAATATATTATAAACATATCCCGCCCCGCGGTCGTGAGGAGATTATTGCCGTCTGCCGCAAATGAGGCAAAATTATCTTTTTTCCCCGCGGTCGTGTGGACATTATCTTCATCTTGCACGATCACAGAAAAATTCTGATAATCCCTAGCGGCCGTGAAGACATCATTATATCATCTCTCATGGTCGTGTGAACACATTAATCGTCTCCCGCAACTGCGGCAAAATGGTAATCATCTCCCGTGGTCGTGTAGAGATCATCATCAGCTTCCGGGAATGAGGCAACATTCTGATCTTTTCTGATTGATTGATTGATTGCGCGTATCGCGGTAAAATTCTAATCATCATTCGCGACAATGTAGACATCACAATCGTCTCCCGTGGTCGTGAAGACATCGTAATTAATTGTCTCCCACGATTACGGCAAAATGTTAATCATATCCCGCAGTTGAGTGGAGGATCATCATCGTCTTCTACGATCGTGGCAAAATTCAGACTGTTTCCCGCAGTCGTTTGAACATTATCGTCTTCCGTGATTGCGGCCGTGTGTTGAATATTATCGTCTCCCTTGGTCACAGAAATGTCATTGTTGTCATGCACAATCGCGGTAAATTGAAATTTCCAGGTAGAAATACAAAATTCACGCATAATTCCGGGTTAAAAAATCTCAGGCATAGTTCTAGAATTTCTCGGTCTGTGGACACCCTGTATATATATATATATATATATATATGTATTGCAAAGGGGCGCTACTATTAGTAGTGCCCATGGCGCTGACAGGGTCAAAAACGGGCCAGGTATACTCTACTTCACCTTAATTCTAGTTTTACTGTGGGTATTTTTATATTTCTATTGAAGGAGCTACTGACTAAAACCTATACAATGTACATAAATAAACCAGATTTACAACTTGTACAAAAACATTTCTCATGATGTTATGTGATAAACAGTGTCCTAAAGCTTTTTTTAAACACTAAGCTTATGTTTCTATGGTGTGTTCATGGGAATATCACAAGCAAAACATGGAAATATAATTTTAATCTAATTAGTTTCCAAAATCACCTTTCCACATGGAACCACTCGCTGTCCGTCCCAGGGACGACACTGAAGGTGAAACCAGCGGCAGATCTTGTACGGAAGTCTTGGCTAACATTGAGTGTGAGCAGCTTCAGAGGTACAGGGGTGTTCTCTTCAACCTACAACAAAACATTGACTTCAATAACTGAACCTTACAACTGACACTTTCTTTACACCACAAAACATGACGTGAATTCAAAGTTAATGAGTATTATTTACACTAGAGTGGCATATCAAAACTAGAAATATGGACACAGCTCATTAAGTCCAGGTCTTGCCACAAAATAGCTCATATTCCTTATATGGGAAATTCACTTTAAGTTATCAAGTATCAAATTTGATATTTTCAAGTGTTTCCTTCTATAACCAATCAATTGTTTGACATCCATGAGTTTTTTTTTATAATGGACACATTGAAAAACAGTCAATCAGAATGGCGTGATCTCCAAAAACCAGAAACACTGTGTTTGATAAATTTTACTGATTTAACCTTTATCAGATGGCCTCAGAAAAATTAAGATATTTTCTGAACAATAAATAACCACAACAATCAATAATGAGTTTAGAATTGCAATCAAATGGCAACTGTGGAACCTTTTCTTTCCTATAAGCCATAGGGAAGAAATAAAATCTATTGCACACAATCGGTTACACTCAGAAACAGGAAACAAATGTAAGAATGCAGTTTTCAAGTTAAGTAATTAATATCATTCTTAAAGGATAAAAGATTTAGTCTACCAAGTTTGGAATCGTTGAGTAGTGAAAAAACACTACTTTGCAATGAATGATGATTTGACACTCTTCTGAAGAAGATTTCTCATAAATCAACACCACCTTTCAACGATTTTGGATCACTTGGTAGATAAAATAACATAAGCCAGTAACATTTTATCAGTGATTTGTAAGCTTACGTTAACAAAAATAATGACTGTTTACCTCAAGCTCATAGTATCTATGAGTGAATATCGGCCCAGGAATATCTTCATCCACTTCTTCTGGGACGTCAAGCACAGTCACCATGAGCAGAGCCGTAGAGCTGAGAGAAGGATGACCCAAATCTGACGCTACAATTGTCACATTGTGTACACTTTGTCTCTCAAAGTCTAGCGCTGTTGTAGTTGTGACAACTCCGTCTTTAGAGTCAACAGCAAATAGATGTTGCCTGTTGCTGACATGTTGAATGTGGTAGAGAAACATTCCGTTGCCATTAACTGGTGAATCAGAATCATTAGCAGAAACTCTAGCAACTCTGGTTCCCGGTGGGCTGTTTTCCGGGACAGAAGCTGTGTATAACGGTAACAAAATTATATCTGACGATTTCACCAAGACTGATGATGAGCCTGATAAGTCTACTGGTCTTGCTTTTACGAGTTTATTATAATTATGAAAAACTGGAGGGTTATCGTTTACGTCTAAAACTTTCACTTCCACATCAACAGTGCTGCGAAGTCTTCTATTAACTGGACCATTGTCTTGAGCCATTATTCGGAAATTATAACTAGTCTGGGTTTCATGGTCTAATTTTCCCACTACTGAAATAATTCCATCGAACGACATCATAAAAGGTAAGTTTGCAGTGCTATCTCTCTTTTTCAGAAGGGTATAAGTGACATTAGCATTTTCCCCAAAATCTGGATCCGACGCCATCACGTGTCCTAAAAGTTTTCTTGTGTATTCTCCCTCGACAATTTCAAAATAGTATCTAGATTTTTCAAAAACCGGTGGGTTGTTGTTCACATCTTTGATAAACACTCTTGCAATAACATAAGCTTCCAGACCACCAGCGTCGGTGGCCGTTATGTTCAGTCGGAACTCTGTTTGTGGTGGGAGTATACCTGATACTGTAACCTCGCATGTTGTAGGGTGTACGGTGAAGTGATGGGTCGTGTAGGGAGCCACTACAGATATCTCAGGTATATACGTCTCGCTCACCAGCTTATAAACTACCGTACTGTTCTCACCGCTGTCTTTGTCTATAGCTAGGAGCCGAAGGACAGGGAATCCCACAGTTAATGTCTCGGGGATAGAGACTACTGGAAGTATTTCCTTCTCCTTGAGACTCCTGCTGCCTTCCACGACTGTTTTGTTCCCCACAACCACCAGGACGGCACTGGTCACTGGTTCTGGGATTTCTACGTTTTCGCTAGGATGAACCCACATTTGGACAAACTGGGGTGGGTTGTCGTTCACGTCGTCTACTTGGATTGTCAGCACCACTTCTGATGTTAGGTTTCCTGAAAAAAATAGAAAAAACTGTAAGTTGAACTTTAACTAAACTAACTTGTATCTTTTTAGAAACATCCAATTTCAAAAATCTTTACTCTCGACCATAGGCGTCCCGTGACCAACATTTTTGGGGGGCACACACAACATCAGCACTTCATAGTCTTAAAATAGGTTAAAATTGTATTTTTATTAAAGACATTCCAAACCCCTCCCCTCCACAAAGATGATTGCTGCTCATTTGCAGAAAATTGTAAAAACCCTGGTCTTATTACGTCCTACCTAGGATTCCTAGCTAAGGATTGGCAATCTTTATACAGGAGCACATCTACGGTTTAATTTTTTTTGAAAAATGTGATAATCCTCAAAAGTAAACAAATTACCTTTGTCAGTTGCCACAACTCTGAGAACATATTTTTCCTTGATTTCTCTATCCAATTTCCCCACAAGTTTCACATAACCGGAAGATTCCAGGAAGAACAATCGGCTGTCCTCTCCATGGAGAGATAGGTGGAACTTAGCGTTACCGCCAATGTCACTGTCGACTGCCATGATTGGTCCATCCATAGCTACTCGACACCCGGGCAAACAGTCCTCTCTTATGTGACCCGAGTAGAACTGTTTGGCAAACTTTGGTGCATTGTCATTCTCATCCTCCACAGTTACATGGATCTGTGAAATAGGAAGAGTAAAATCTGTTAGTAAGAAAATCTGTTAAGTATAAAGTCCTTTTTACGGCTTATTACAGTCCCTTATGTAAACATATCTTGTATAAAACATTTTGAAAAGTATGTATGTAGCAATGTATCAGAGTTGTCAGAGTGGTTTCCTTCAAATCTGAAGTAAGCCTATTATGGTAAATGATTGGTCCCCAAGGATCAAAGAAGGATCAATTCTAAATACAGATTTTTCATTTAAAAGTGTCATTTCCCTGAAATGATGCACCATTGACGCTTCGCCACGGGGCAACAACTGTCCGGTTTAGTGGCAGTGGACGGCTGCAAGACAACACAGTTTTCTGCCGTACCGTAACTGTTTAGTGTGTAAGATGTCATGCTTTTCCTTGCACTACTAAAATAATTTACCCGTAAATGGTTTTTTACCAGGAAAACCGTATATTATGAAAGGATCATAAGTCATAATTATTTACTAATAGCTCAATGATGTAGGACATCTGAGTCCTATTTCAAACCACTAAAACTAAGACTTTACTTTTTTTAACTAAGACCACTAAGATTTTGACTTTTCTTGAGATCGAACTGGCAACCTTCTGATTAGTGGTGTAGTGGGGAGGGAACGTGAGTGAACCGCTCCCTCTCTGCCTTTTCCAAGAATCCTTTATGTTGGTCAGTTTTAGCATAATGGTGAGCGTTCCCCCTTCAAAATCTACTACAGTACTAAAGCCATCCACTTAGCTACCCAACTATTAGTATATAGTTTATCCATTTAAGCCAATACATATTATGTAAAAAGAATTCTAAAATTATCATAGTTGTCAAACAATTGTTATTTTTTGGAAAAAGCAAGAAATTTTCAAACTATATCTTACATGTAAATCAGACCGATGGTTTACATGTAACATGTTATGGGCCTGAGTGGTATTTTTGTTTCCCTCCCCACTATCTTACAAGGGAATTATTCTCTTCCTTGCGCCCCGAACAACAATTCAAAAACCTCTTGCCTTCCTGGTCATGGTATGATTCACTAAAGAGGCTCTGATTTAACCACAAAGAATTGAACCGCTTTTCCAAAAAGCGTTTGAGTACCTACAATTCCTCCTCCTTCAAAAATTGCCACAGTCGTAGAAAGTAAAAAGAGAGTTGTAGATCAAAGTTCAAGTAACATTTTCTCACCTGATAGAATCCTCTGTGAGCAATGACCCCTCTACCGCTCTCTGCTATCACACTCAGCTGATAAGAGTCCTTGTGCTCTCGATCCAGACTCTTTTGGGTGTAAACCGTTCCGTCCTGAGAGATGGCGAACTGCTCTGTCACCTCCGGCTCACTCACGATCATAAACTTCACTCCCTTCCAGGGACTCGGGTCTGTGGTGTTCCGGACAGGAAGCAGCTGACCTACCAAAGCTCCGGACAAGTTCTCTCGGACTTTGAACTTCATCACAATCGGTTCATTGGTGCTACTGTAACAGAAATTAAACTTGTGGGTAAGTTGTTTCTATTTGGCACCTAGATGTGCATGTTCACCATGCATCTGGTAAAACACATTTGCACATATATCTACAAGTAATGTTTTTTAAATTGGCTTTTTCCTGTAATTCTCAGACCCAAGCCATGGACAATACGTTTTTTTCAAATAAGGAAAAACATTTTAAAATCATACAATCAGGATGTATCTTTTCATATTGGATTTGTATTATGCTGTTTGCAGGTGGGCAATATTGTATCATAGTTTTTTAGAGTAACCTCTTCTAAAGCTAATGTTTGATTACTGTAAACCGCATATGAAGGCATATTCTAGCGGTCCTAGTTTTACCTCTCTACTCTCATACCTTCCTCTCACACCAAAGATATATTATGTACTAATTTACTGAAAGAGTGGAAAAACTAAAAACAAGATGAACCAAATGAAAGACTATGGTTTGACCTAGAATTTCCTGTATTGTATGTGTGTTCTCTCAATCACTACCTATAAATTTCTTCCCGTTAGTCAAGATATTTTGCATTGGATATAAAGCTTGTTATATAGACAACAGAACAGATATAGTGTACATAGTAAGATATTGTTTACGGCTTTAAAAAATTTCAAATCTTAGCTTCAAATAATAAAGCTCTGGATAAGGTGCTGCATAAATCGAAATAGTATTCAGCACTAATACAAAATGTATTTATAGCTAGCGAAACATCTATGATTCAGAGATCGACATGGGTTTCACTAGCCATGTAACTAAAAAGCTTTTAGGAGACTCTAGCATTAGAGTAAAAGTTAAAAACTTTATTTTATACAACTTAATTTAAAGTGTACCATAGTTAAACTTTTATGTGAAAAATATTTATTTTTTTTATTTTATAGATTTAACTAAGAGTTATCAGATTCTTCATTACATCTCAAACAATTCTTGGTGAGTCAAACAGTTCACTAGACTATAATTGACATGCATTAGTTGTTATCAGATTATACATTACTTAACACTTTAATGTACATTTTTAAAACTTCTGTTGTACTGTCCTCCTTCGTCTTTACTATTGTGCTTCAGCAATCATTGAGTGAACGAGAATTCGGACTAGAAGACTTCACAGATATACGGTCAACAAATACTTTTGTAGACAAAACCGATATGATCAAAGTAATATTTAATAAACCATCCACGCTTATAACAGCACCAAGACATTTTGGGAAATCAGTTAATTTTGACATGATAAGTCTATTTTTGAGAAATGACCAAAACAAGACTGAAATAGAAGAAATATTCAAAGACACAAATATTCGGTCGGACAAAGAGTTTGTTGAAAATCACATGACAAATCATCCAGTTTTGTATTGCAATTTTGACACCGGTTTAGAAGTGACGTGCGAAGAGTCGCTGAAGTCTTACTACAGACAAATATTGTTTGGTATCTACATTGAACACGAGTATTTGAAAGACAGTCCAGTTTTGAATGAGGAAGAAAGAAAAACTTTTACAAACTACATTCATGAGAATGACGAGTTGGAGAGACCAGATATTGTTACTGGATTACAATTTGTGATTAATGCTTTATTCTTACATCACAACAAGAAAGTTATAGTTTTGATAGACGAGTACGATGCGAATATTGTGAACGATATGTTTAGTATGGAAAATTCAGATCATCCTGATAGCTCTCATTTTACTAGGGAAATAATGAATTTCCAGATGGATTTATTTAGCAATACACTTAAAAACGTGCATCAAATAAAACAAGTGCTAATAACTGGTACGTTGCCAGTACAGTTTCTGAATGCTTCAAGTCCAATAACATTTCAATCTGTGACATTCATGATGGATGATGATCTTTCACAGTTTTACGGGTTCACCAAGCAAGAAGTGAAATTTTTAATTACAAAATTTAAACTTCCACAAAATGAAAGTGACAATTTAAACTTGTGGTACGATGGATATTCAAGTCCAAAAACTGATGTTCGTATGTTCAACCCTTTGGCAATAACAAAGTTTTTGGAACTTAAACTGCCTTTTGGATATTGGATTCAAACATTTCCAATCAGAGGAATAATGCTGCCATTGATGGAAAATACTATTATACAAGAGAGAATAGTTCAACTTGTAAATTCAGAACCAGTGAGTATAAAGTTTAAAGGTATTTTTATGATCGACCAACTAACAGATTTAAAAAGAATCATAAACAAGCAATGGAAACACATTACAGATGTTGATATTTTCTTCCAGTTTCTTCTACATGTTGGCTATTTGACTTATGATAGATCACACAAGAGACCCCTAAAGCATACTGTTGCTGTTAGAATACCCAATAGAGAGATTCGTGATGAATTTTCCTCCATTATTAAAGGATATTTCTCCCATCGAATTGAAGGTGATTGAGAGTCAAAACTAATCCCAACCTAACATTTGCTGTTGAATTAAATACATTGGCAAGTACTAATTTGAGCGGTGGGTCATTTGAAGTTGATGGATCAAAGGGGATGGATTCAAAGATTCTTCAAAGACATCTTTCTATCAACAGGAGTTATGTTGTTGTGCTATCGAATTTATACAAATCATGAAGAAATGTATATTTTAAAAAGAAATCTTTTCACCTCTTGTCTAGATTTTTCTAGTCTGCTTTGGTAAAATGTGGATGTGTTTTAAGAGAACAGTACAATTAAAATAAACATTACACTTGTATAATATAAAGAGGTTGTTCTTACTGTCTACATCTCCCATTCCATGTGGTCAACATTGAAGTGAAAGTCTTTTTCAAGAAATAAAATCGTAATCAATAACCTACAACATTAGGTAATGAGGAAATAAGTAAGTGGTTGCACATGGTGAATATTTGAAAATCGTTCAGTATATTTCTAATAAAATCAAAAAAGATTCTTTAGTAGATCATCCAAGCACAACATGAATTTTCAAAATAGTGCATTATGCAGTTCTTCTTTTTATCGATAACAAAGTAAATAATAATTGTACCTAGAGTGAATGGCTCAGCTAATTAAGCCTGGATTAGATTATTAACGCAAAATTGTGTAATTCAAAGTGATAATATATTTAAGATATTAGGTGCCAGTTATTTGTCTTTTAATAATCTAAAATATTAGGCTGAGTTTTGTTTGTAATGTCCAAATATTCAAATACGAACATGACAATTTCTCTCCTCACTTCATAATTTGGTACTCTTAACACATCCTTGCCTAAAACTTCACTGCAATTTTTACTACTGAAAGTTAAATATCCCATTTGTAGCATAAGATGAAAAAAGAGATCAGTATCCGTATGCTTGTCCCACCAATTTTCAGACGTCTTCTTCAAAACTATCAAATCTTGGATCGAAAACTTGTCTTTGAACTTCACTATGATGATAGTGTTATTAGCTATTTTAACAAAGTTTCCTAAGATTTCTTGATTATCCAGCAAAGGCAAAATGCCTAACATCCTGAACGGTTTAGTGTTAGTCCAAAAGCCGTTTCCAGATCTTAGCATCAGAAACTCCGACACGGACAACGGATTGAATATTTCAAGCTCACCAAACTTTGACGAGTACGCCTCGAACCACTCTGTTAGTTCACATCTATCATCACGATTCAGACGAAACTTGAAAATAAGTTTTACTAAATCCGCTTTGGTAAAACCGAAATACTGACTGAATCGAGCATCACGTAAAAACGCTATGTACTTTAAGTTTGAATTATCAGCCGAACTATTGCAAATATTTATTGTCAATATCCCTGCCAGTATAACTCTATCCACATAAGTAATGTCTTTCACAAGACCACAGAGAACATCACTATGGAACCCTACTATATCCTTTGTTTTCTCTAACTGATCCTTTTCTTTCCCTCGAACTTTTAAATGATTATCGAAAATGTTATTGAGTATTTTATCATCATAATCGTCAATGAGAATTATAACTTTTTTCCCAAAATGTAAACCCATCAAATTAGACAAAACTTTTAAACCGCCCTTTACTTCTGTCACAGTCAAGTTTTTATTCCGCTTAATATATTTGGCAAATAATAGTTTTTCATCTTTATTCAACTTATTACTGTTATTCAAGTAAAAGTGTTTGTAAAAAACTGAAAGTAGAATATTTTTAAAACTTTTCACTAGCGATTCTAAGTCTATAACCTCAATGTATGTTTTGAAACTACAACATAACACCGGATATGCACAACAATGCTTACGCACAAAACTGCTATGAGACCAAATCTTTGTCTTGTTGAACGTATTTGTCACATCCTCAATCTCCTTGTTATTGCTTAGAAACATTTCAAGCATGTTCAGATTCAAAGTCTTCCCAAAATATCTCGGAGCACTGATTAAAAGTGATTTGTGGCAAAATATTTCTCTTATAAAGAAAGTTTTATCGACGAACAGCTTAGTTTCTGTAGCCTTACAAAAACCCAAGGCCGACTCTGATTCTTTTCTTTGTTGATGATCAAAGTCTAAATCAATTACTACACTGTCATTTGATTTCTTCAAGCCGGGAATGTTTTGGGACATTGCTCGCTTGATGTTCACAACCACAAAAAGTAAACAAATTATGTCACTGATCTTGTACATCTTATATTGTCTTTCAGGGTGATAAGACTCTGATGTGTTGGTTGATAAGAGATTATGGTTTTACTATATTTAATTTTCCACAGACACATACTACCATTCATGGCATGTATTTATTTACTATTATTTCTATTTATAAATTACCTTTTTAATAATAAAGAAATGTTTCAACCTTAGTAAATTATCAATTCACAAAGTTCAAATGTAAATTTGATATCCTTATACAGTACTATATATATTCAATTTTTTATTTAAATGGCCCAGCCACCAGTGCTAGGACTGTTTGACATAAACACCCTTTTGGCGTTGCTCACGTGTCCTGTTACCTCTGTAAGAGATGGATAGTTATTAAGGTGTAAGCTTCATAGTTTTCCAACTGATACATGCATATTTTTAATTCAGGAAATAGGGAATTTGCTCCAATGCTAAAGCTTTTATAAATATGCATACATGAAAATCATTGTTCCAATAGTTTATCCATAGCAATAGTTATGTTCTATGTCAGTCATTAGGATGTAGCCATTGAGCACAAGCAGTAATAAAACATTCAGTGACAAAACTAAATAAATTATTAACCAGACTTTCAAATCATCCACATTTACTAAGCAAATTTCCATTTGCCTGTTAAAATATTCACAAAATATTTCCTGAAACATGAAAGAATTTTTATCATTTAAATAACATTAGATTTAATTAGTGCTTAGGTTTATTTAAAAAAAATAATATTTTTAAATGGGAATCAATCTGACATGTTTGAGGAAATATAGTGGAAAATCTTCTCAGGCAAATGGAAATACGCTTAGTCTGCAGGCTTTCTGCGGTGGGGTCATAATTTCTGATTCACACTACATATTATCGACAATATTTAAATCTGTAATGTGATCATAATTTGTCATTTTGATTCAACATTTCTACGGCCTTGTGTAATTTAAAGACGAGTAAAACAATTTTTGTTCATTAAGATTAAAATTTTCTGATCTGACAATGCCACTAAAGGAACATACAAGTATACTTTTATTCATAACATTTTTACTGACATGAATGCCACACAAATCTATTAGAAGGAAACTTGCTACGCTCATGCAAGACAGAAGCCATCAAATGTTTCACTTACTCAGCGGAGAAGGCAGAGTCGGAATGGACGACGTGTATTGTGACATTTGTGATCAGCGTGATCTCTTTTTCATCTGTGACGACGGCTTCAAAATCGTACAAAAGCCTGTCGTAGTTATCCATGTTGTCAACCACTGTAATAGTGCCAGATCTCTCCTCTACAGCAAAGGGAACTGTAAATTAGAACACAAACTATAGTTTGAGTACTAAACTAAATTACACACCATGTTGGGTATTGGTTTTAAAATGTTTTACAAAAAATATCGCTCAATCGAAATAAAAAAACTTAATTGTTAGGATCGTATTATGATATGGCAGAGGAAAATCTACGAATCAATGATTTTTATTCTCAACTGAAATGAGGAGAAAATGAATAAAATAAAAGAATCTCTTAACTCATTTGTATAGGGTACCTAATTTAATTTGTTTGCCCACATTCAAGTAGAAAGAACATTGGTTATGTTCCATTGGCTTCAATCACCTTTATTTTTGTCTTGTGATATCTTTAACTCACCAGATTAGATTAAAACAAACACACATACACACAATCAAACCTCTAGAAAATCTAGTCTGACGTTTTTCTGGACCTAAAAAACGCCCTGCTTCCTCAAGGTTGTAGAACTTCTTTTCATCCCCCACAAGGGTCAAACGCCTAGCCATGACTACCGCTGTTGAATTACGTACGGTACTTGATTTTCCAAGACGATTGAGTCTAATGTGAGTTTTTATCATATCTTACAGGTTCTGGATATCACTGGACAAAAGTAAAGCCCTGGTATAGGGCTGGAATCCCATAAATACCTTGCCTAAAAGAATATCATTTTTTTTAAATATTGAAGGAATAGTAAATAGTAAATGCAGTTGATACCTCCTTCATGGTAGCTGTGGAGTAGATCATAGAGGACTCTACGTTTGTTGACTGCGTCTGTAACTCGTATCTGACCCACGGAAGTTCCTACAGGGACGTCGCTACCAACCCAGAACTCATACGGGGCCCCTACGAAGTCTGGCAGCAAGTCCTTCTTGGCTAAGAACAAAGTAATGTTTTGTTTTGAACAATCCTCATAAAGGTAAACAAAGCGGTGCCTGTTTCACAGCCATATTTCAGGTATTAAGAGACTCGCTTTGAACTTCAACCAATTGATTGGGCCCCTCAATGTCTAGGGCCGTCACTGCCTGTAACTAGGAAAATCACAGCATTTCAGCTTCAACACAGTACAAGTACAATGAAGGAACCCAGGCAAATTAAAGGTGGAAAATAGAACACTCAACTTCCTGTAATTAGGAAACTCCTAATAAAAACATTCAACTTACCAGGCTCCACCAGTACAGTGACGACTGCTAGTGAGAACCTCCGCTCGCTGGGGTTGGCCGGCTGGTCACTCGCCTCCACAAAGAGCGTGTGTTTGCCCAGTACGAGCGGAACGTCACTGACCACTACATTGCCAGACTGAGGGTCCACTGTTAGCTGACTGGTGTGAGCGGACGTGTTGCTACGCTGAAGCTGGAACAGTACCATCCCATTGCGACCCAGGTCAGGGTCCTTGGCTTGTACCTGAAAAATAGAAACAATATAATTATTTATTGAATTATTTTGTGTATGTAAACTCTTGTGGAATTTGTTATACTCCTGTATTGAAAGAAGGTTTATTGTTTGTAAAAAGAAGTTTCATTATTTATCGCAATAGGAAAAATAGGCTTTTATACAACCAAGACTTGGTTGGACTTGAGCCCTGGCAATAAGGGTTACCTTAACTCTAAGGGATGAAACATATTATTTTATACCATGAGAGTATATAGGAGTGAAAATTTAAAAACGTACGTTTTCAGGAAAAGCACTTTGCAAATTCTTTTCCCCTTTTTCCAAAACTTTTATTATTATTTTTATTTCATTAACATTTGAAGTTTCATAAAATGTCCATGGTAACGCAATATCTTTGGTAGTTTCTTTTTAAAAGAGCATCTTTAGTGGAAAAACACAAAATCCTGTCACGACCATAACGGACGTTTAAATGAATATTAAAAATAGTTAATATTATTTTTATAACTATGTTTTGCTATAAACTTATTTACTTTTATGACCATTATACAATAAATAGGTCACTGAGCTTTTGGTATATTTGGTCTTTCTAGAAAAAAATAAAAAAACTCAAAAAATTGAAAAAGCCAATAAAATCTTTTTAAGTTTGTATAACTCTGAAAAAACTTACCTGAGACCCGAAAAATCGTTATGTTTGTATAGAGGTGTGCTTCTTTTGTGTATAAAACATTGAAATATGACGATATTTTAATTTTTGAAATTTTTATGATAGAAATCATAAACGTGATGGTCAGGGACAAGCGGTACGGTCGTGAATTGTCTGGAATAATCTAAATCGTTCTAAACAATCCTTCAATTATCCTGTTAGTTATAATAAAAACATGTGTTTCAATTGAACTTAACTGTTCAATTTACAATTATATTAAAGTTATTGTCACGACCAAACACACTATAATCCATAATGCTGGATTGGTCGTGAAAAAACCCGCGATGGTCGTGAAACTTTGGTCGTGAAATTACGTGTTATTTGGCTCTGTTCTGGCGGTAGCCCTGCACCTCATGTTCGAGGATACAAAGTGGACTTCTAGGTTAATCTAGCAATTGAAATATCTTATAAACAAAAATTAACACCATGTCTACTTCATCGAATGACTACGTACGGTCATGGACACACCAAAATTACAAAAAACACAATCTTTCCTTTATTAATCTTGTAATTTCTCCTTTCAACTCAAAACGACCGGCACTACAATCCTGACGTACACCCCGAACTAGTCTCTAAAACCAACTGACTCCATCGACGCCAGGCTTGCCACTGTCGTGCTCCAAAGTTGAAAATTTTTCCCAAATGGTCGTGACGCCAAATCGAGGGACAGACTTATTTTGTCATGGTAGTCAGTTTGTAATGACAATAAAATTATAATATGCTCCTTTTTTGTAATTTTAATAACCATTGATGACATAAAAATATGGCTTTATATATTTCGGCATGAATAATTAGTCTAAAAACAGTGTGAAAGTTGGAAAATGCACCCTAGGGACACGTCATGGTCGTGAATTTCGAGACTTTAAAAATACAAAAAAAATACCTAGAACCTATTTAAAACCAAATAAATGTGTGTAACATGTTGCCCCCGTCCCAAAAAATATTAAAACACATAATAATAAACTACAAATCCAGTATCTACGAAGTAAAAGGCCAGGGACATGAAAACGTACGTTTTTAAATTTTCACTCTCAGGTACCCTCCAGGCTAACTGGTGGTTTCCCCACTGTTACTTTTGGGTGACGTTGCTCAGAAATTAAACTGAACATTTGCTCACAAAACCCAATTTTATTATCAGCCCACAAACCATACAAAGATAAATAACAAACAAAAAGGTATAGTAGACTGGAACAGAGTTAATAATTTAGTTCGAAAAAGCAACTTCAATTTGGAAAAATTTCTTGAACCCCCAATTTTGAAAACACATAAGATTGTCTTATCTGGACCTTACCTCCAGAACCCCTAGCAAGCCCCTGTCCTCCAGTACACTACACTACTACTAAAGTCAGTCGCCACCCTAACTTCAGGCAGCCCATGGCCGCATGCTGTATATCTAGTGCGGCCTTGGGCTGCCTCAAGTTAGGGCGGTGAGGACTTTAGACACAAAACTGACCCCCCGATCAAGTGCACTGGCCTACATTAAACAACAGCCTAGGTTAGGTTAGGTCAGCACAACAAGTTATTGTTTAACAACACGTCCAGCCTACTCGCACACCATTGCCAAACACATTCCCTTCACAAATATTTTATCCTCCTATTACAAGAGTAAGTAGAGTTTTAATTATTATCTCAAGGGTTAAAATGCATTGTTTAAATCTCAATGTTCCATCAAAATGGATAACATTGGATAGTGGATACATTTTGTCCAATGTGGGGGAGATTTAAATGCAAAGATGCAACAGTACAAAACTTAAACCAAATCTGTAGGCTACTAAACAAAGAATAAATTTCTTACTTTGCCAACAACATGCCCAACAGGTATGTTCGGGGTTGTAGAGAATTCGTACAGATTACTCGGCACAAACACCGGGTTGTTGTCGTTGGCATCAAGCAGAGTGACTTCCACCGACACAAAGGAATCACTGCAACAACAGCAAAACTTTCAACATGTAGAAATATGGTCTTAGAGATTACACTTAATTGGTTAATTTCTTCAGTATTGAATAGACATAGGCTAATACCAAAAGGATCAACATCTGTTCGTTTCACTTGCGCTATCAGCATTAAAACTTACATGGGTGTGGCAAAAAAACGATCTATTTTATGCAGCGCACTGTTCAGCGACAGGTCATCTGAGAGTGAAATGGCTAGGCTCGTTGTAAAGCCTATACGATGCCATTATCTGTGGTCATAGAGCAGTGGTCAACCAAGCAACGAGCATTCGTAATCGAATTGAATTTAAAAAGTATTGATTCAGTGATTGCAACTCAGGGGCAGTCCCGTGCGACATGGATTCACTCAAGTAGCACAATCATGTGGTGGGTTACCAACTTTTAGAACAACGGCTTCTACATTCAAAAGAAGCTGACAAGCCGTCCAAAGCAGATACGGACCCCAGACAATTAATATTGGATGGTGCTGCTGTGGAAAACAGTCCTCTAGGCAAGCCCAAAAACAAGCATCTGCTTTGAACATGTCTGACTGCTCGGTTACACTAATTTTAAGGTTCGATCTTAATTCTTATCACTACAGATTAATTTGTATTAATCTGTTTGATTAATTATGTTGATTATCCATACAGATAATCGCGACGGAACCTCTCCATGTCGACTTAATTTAAAGAATGCATGGAAATGCCACTGAGTTGCAATGAATTAATCATTACTTTTTTTCAAACGACTCTACTATAACAAACGCGCGTTGCTCAGTTGACCACTGCTCTGACAATAGATACATCGTGTAGGCTTTCTAATGAGCCTGCTCCCACCACCCTCAGACGACCTGTCGCTGAACAGTGCGCTGCAGAAAATAGATAGGTTTTTTTGCCGCACTCTGTATATCAATAAGAATAGACATAAAAGATTAAGCAGTACACTCACCTAGCTGGTGTGACCACACTGGGCAGTTTCTCCCTAGCCAACACCCTCATGGACAGTGAAGGCCTCTGTTCTCTGTCCAGCTTAGCCTGGTTGCGGACAGTCAGCCAACCACTGCGGCCATCAATACTGAAAGCTTGCGAAGGGTCCACCAGGTGGTATACAAACTCCCCGTTGTCCCCCTGGAGGAATCATAGTGTAAACTAAAATGTGTTCATGATTCACTTTCAGTAGTTGTAGAAAAAATATTGGAAGACAGTGGACAAAGTTGTTTTTAAAATATTAAAATCATAAAAACAAATGTTCAGAATCTTGCAGTCTTTTTAAAATTATCCTTATTGCCTCGACCAATTTTATCAGTGTATAACCATAGCTGGATGCACTCAATGTAAAGGGAAATTCTCCACAATTTTTCTGCCTTACAACTATCTGTTGCTTGCAATGTGCTGTCATGAATTAAGGTTATGTCAAAAAAATTCTTAACTTTGGTCATCACCACTGAGAACATTTCATTCAAATACATTGATTTTAAGTTTAGAAGGGGTCAGAAATATAGGTTTTGGACCTGTATTGTTTGGAAATTATCCAAACTATTTGGTTTTTATTCTGAAACATTTACTAAAGAGATGTATCCCCTTCTATTAGAACTACTTAACAAGGGCATATTGTTAGTTGAGGCCTGCGGTTTGTATATGATGACTATATACATGCGTGCGGGTTGCGTGTGGGATATGGGAACGAGAGATTTGCAACTAACTGAGGGGGCTCCTCACCTCCACCTTTATTGCAAGGGAATGTTTCTCTTTGCGTCCCCAGGCAAACTTTGTCTTTGGGTTTAGGGGACCTATTTACCAAAGCAGCCCTGTGTTAGTTATAGTGTCGTACATAGCTCAAGTGATAAAAAAACTAAAGCCTTTTTTTACAGTATTAAGTTTTGAATGGATCCAAAGCTGCAGAGAGATCTTGTGAATTATTATCAGTTTGGAACGTCTCATTCAGAACTCCATCCATCTATTTTCTTCAGAATATCATTGTAAACTATTGAAGAAATACTTCTTTTAAGCTGGGTGAACCGATGGTGAGCTGTGTTATTCAATATGTGTTTGAATCTAAAAATCTGAATTAACATCTTATTCTTCTACATAAAAGGACTTAAATTGTTTTTGGAAATGTAAATTAGTTGAACGCTACTGTATTCAAGAATCTAATATCCATCTGCTAAGTTCCCTTACCTGGTCTTGGTCTGTGGCTAGGACCTGCAGTACGCTGAAGCCATTAGGAAGGTTCTCAACAATGCTGATGTTGTAGAGGTCAACCTCAAATTGAGGCTTGTTGTCGTTGATGTCTTGCAGTTCAACCTCAACACGGGCAACCGAGGTCTTCAGAGGGTTGTTGTCCTGTGACGCTTGGATCTGAAACAATACGAGAGTCTTACAAAGAGTAATTTACAAAGAGTATTTTAAGACATAGAAGATTTTCTGGAAAGAATTCTGGAAGCTTCACCTTAAATATTGCAGTTGAAGGTCTTGTGATGAAGGTTCTACTGATCGGTTATGCAAAAATGTCCATCAAGAAAAAAAAATATTAGAGAACTGAACCATTATTTGGTTTCACTTTTTTTTACTTTAATTAATTGTGGAAAGCTTGAATTGTCAAACTTTCTTTCTTAGTTGGTTATTAAATACCGGTACTTCACTTCAAATTTGTTCTCTAAAATCAACTACTTTGCTCCCACACATTAAGGAGCAAAATGATATTATGTGTTCAAATCAACAAGTACACACATAAACATAATTTGACTAAAACGTTTTAGTCAATTAGTGCTGAGAGTTACTATACATTTTATGGGCTTTGAAATATATATACTTGCGGCTTTACTAGCACAAGTGGTGTTGGCCTCCATTAGGGTCTCTGAATTATATTGAGAAGAAATTGTTTAGTAAGTGTTCAGTAATTGTTCTAAGCCAATTTTTGTAACTATCATAACATTTCTCATTTTAATGTAAACTAACTTTTCTAGAATTTGTCCTGAAAAAGGTAGTAAAATATTTAGTGAATAATAATACAGTGACCTACTTAGAGCACTTATTTCACCAATAATTATAGTAACTATTTGTGTTGTGAGAACAGATGTGGAATTTAAAAATCAAGTCTATAATTCCCTCTGAAACAGATTCCTTATGCATAATTTTGGAGGGAAAACTGCAGTCTTGAGTTGCATCACTATGATAATGAGTTTGTGATGTTGAAATGTAACTAGAAAAGATCTAGTAGTTGAGCTTATTCAGCATTGAGTTCTGTGTTGATTTTCCCTATCGACTATAATTCAAGAAGAATTCAACTACCACTGCATTTACTTGCACATATACATTCAAACAAACACACACTAAAATGTAGTTAATGGTTAGTGGCTAGTTAGCTGCATCTATAAAAGCCAAGAAACGTGCATTTACAAGCAATTGATAACAGTAAAACCTGATTTTAATTGATATATTGAGGATGGATTGCAGGAAACTCGTGTCACTAATGTGAGGTGCAATTAGCATCGCAGGAGTACAGTTAGCAGTAGTTATTCAACATGGTGATAAAAGCACAGTAGGTGCTTGTTACCAAATTAATCACAATAAATAATAAGAAGTCATTTTTGGACTTACAATTATCATTAATTTAACACAGCTAGGACTCTGAATATGAGTGAAAGATGAGTAATAGAATGAAATGAAATGATGTGTGTAGCTTTGTTAGTGACTAAGGTCAGTTTTCTTAAACAGAAACTTTGATTTAAAGCCTGATGATGAGGGACAGCTGGGTCCAGTTTTGAAGTATCAAAAAGCTACTGACTTTTCTCAGGATTGAACCAGCGACTATTTGACAAGCACTATAACCACTTGGCTACTCAGCCAGTACAGTATCATCTGGATATTATAAATAGTCATGAAACACTTTACTGAAGATCCTATAAAACTGAGTTTAAATTTAAGAACTGCAGGAAAATAATATTTGCCTTCAGAATACGAATAAAATAGGATTTTTTTTATTAAGCTTCAACTATAATTGTGTATCATAAAATCTCATAAACTCAAACATTAATCCAAACAATTCAATTACAATTACATTTCTTCATTTGTCCTATATAACTTTGACCTGTCAATGATCACATAAATCACATTTCAATTTTTAGGGGAGGGAATAGTCATTCTTAGCTTTTTTTACTTTATGGCGTGTTTTTAGCACCCCTCGGCCTGATTTATGCTCTTGGTGAATCGTGAATCATTTTCCAATTATGATCTACATGTAAAATTACACTTCCCTTAGATGAATGGTGTTAGCTTTACCATATTACAGAGAAATAAGGTACAGAGGGGAGGAGCTTATTGTACAACCAAGCGCTTTCAGCTCTGGGTGGAAAATATACTTGTAACAGGTAAGAATAAGCCTGAATGGCGAGCCCTGTGCGGAAATTCCTATCGCACAGGGCACACTGCTATCTTCACTGTACTCATGAGAGCTGAGGTGGGTCATTGCCCTAGACACCAGCACTAGCGCTAGACACCACTTAAGTGTACCATTGAATGTTTCCTCTGTGTCTTACAGTAGTCGCAGCTAGTCTGGGCGCGCGGACCCTTGTGTACTAGCCGTGCTGAGAGTAACGGCTCGCTCACCCCACAGCCTCGCTGAACAACCCCAGAGAGCTGTGTGGGCCAGATGTTTTTTGAAATGAGCAATAAACACTCCCCTCTACACCCCCCGCCCTAGCGCGGCCGAGCGCCCAGACTAGCTGCGAGTACTGTACTTCTCTGTGCACTCTACATACTCACTAAACTATATTATGTGTTTCCTCTACCAATACTTTATTGGACATGAAACTGTCACATTTTTATCCTTCTTCTCTTACCTGAAGCGTGAAAGTGTTCCCAGGAAGAGTGTCCAAGTCCAATTCTCGCTCCAAGAACAGCGTCCCATTGTGAGGGTCCAGGGAGAACAGATGTCTCTCGTTGCCAGCAATGATGTCATACCTGATGGTAGCATTGAGGGACCGATCCTGGTCATATGCGTGGATCGGAGGAGTGAACCTGAGAGCTTGGTGGATTCTTTTACCCTGTAGAAAAGAGTTCTAATAAGGTTTAAATTACCTGGCTACTGTCTCCGATCCTCGGTATAGTTTTAAGAAATTACAGCTGTTTCATGCCTTACATTGGCACATCATCAGGTTTGGTGAACGCCAGCCATTGGTGCCAATGTAAGGCATGAAACAGCTGTAGTTTCTTAAAACTATACCGAGGATCGGAGACAGTAGCCAGGTAATTTAAACCTTATTAGTGCTAATTTTAACGATCCAGTGGCCAGCCATCATGAAATTAGAAAAGAGTTAGCTGTGATTTATGCAAACAGGTGTATTGTGTTAATTAAGTCAACAATTTATCAGAATTTTTTCCTGAAAATTCCTTAGGGGCTTTATCTGGAGATACCTTTGGTCTAGGTTATTTTTTAATCCCATCAAAATCACCCGGTTCAAAATAATCTTAACTCCTATTACATGCAAAAGCAACAGCTCACTGTACATTTTTCCGCAAATACTCCAACTTCTATTCTAGTCGATGTGCAGGTCCCGTTTTAAAAGACAGACAGGATTAATCGGGGGTCATTTGAGTCACAAATGTATATAACTGTTTCAATGGATTCATTAAGAAGCAATAATCACAGAGGATGTTCGGTGCTAATCAAGGAAGCCGTGAACTGCTAATCATATGGTACTGGTGGCGGGAATTCATACACTGCTGACTTGATTACAGTGTCGGTGAATGTTGATCTCGGTGTGAGGTTTGAGGTTAGGTTTGATCCGTCCTTCGATTCAAAGCAGTCTCGGAGTCAAAACACTATACTTAACAGGAAGATTGTCGTTGATGTAAAATTGTTGATTTATCTCTGCAAAAGTTCACTTGCGTGTACCGAAACCGAAATTCATAATTTGGCGCACATTTCGGTAACTGGGCCGGAAGGAAATTAGCTTTTCTCCACCTCAGATAAAATATAGTTGATTTATTGGACTGTAAAACGTTAATAGAGGTGTGATTTTGTGATAACTGAGACTTTTCCAATATTTCAAACTAACACTTGCGATTTGGGACTATGTGTGGGGCTAAATAACTGTATATCTGTGAAAATGTGATAAATCTGTAATCTGTATACGCCCGTCCCTAGACTAGTTTAAATTGACGTCAATCCATATAATATTGTGTTCAGAAGATTTTTTTCAGTTTTTTAGATGAAGAACATTGGTAAATCATTTCACATTGCCACTGATTCGTTGGTTGAACATAATTCAATAATTGATTATATGTTTCAACGTGAACGGAGGGTAGGGTATGACATGTGGAGAAAATAGGTCAAACGACAACAGTAGGCCTATAGCTTAAACCACGTATTTTTCATCTATACAATGGCACATACAACTTCCATTAAACCTCTACTACCTTACTAAACAACAAAAAATGCCAATTGATTAGCGGCAACACATTCTATACATTTCAACCACTGAAACTACCATCTGCGATGCTACATTTTACCATTAACGAACGGAAACTACAAAAATGTAAAGGTTTCTGGGAAAGTTCTTCATGAGGTGATTTCGATTCAGCGTCGACATCAGGAAGGCATTTGACCTTCGGACTCTACTCGTCATTAGAAAAATGAACGACCTTGCTGAAGATAACGGCGCTTTCGCCCCGCACAAGGCTCAGGAGTGAAGCGGAGTCAAGTGGTGTGAAAGGGATGCGTCACATCACATAACTGGGCGGTTACGGTTACGTCTCATCCTCACTCCACTCCGGTTGTCGAGAGTGAAAACGCTACTCGCGCCGCTCTGCTCTAATTGTCTATAACTATAATTGCCCAGCTGATGCCCTCGACTTCCGCAGACTAGAGGTTAAAAATATGATTGTTGTGAGTTTCACTTTAGACGATAGATTTTATTGAGCGGGTTATGTCTGAAGGTATCAGTTATTGAGAAAAAACCGTACCGTCTTAAATACTCAATTCACGTAGCCTGGTGACTTTTCAACCCTCTTAGTAAATCCAACCCGATAATAGTAAACTAATTTTTCATTAAACTACATGGTTTATCAGAGGGAAATTCCTTATCATTTCCTAGGTCCCCAAGAATGCAGAAGAAAGCATTGCAAATCTTTGAAATATCGGATCGCAAATAAAATATTCCTTGATGCTTCTCCAACAGCTATTACAGATTCGTTCTCTTCACAGCTCCGGTCGCAGCTGCATAATGTTCCACAGACTGCTTTGACTGACATTAGACGATCTGGCCCTCGTTCCTCGTTTTAAATAATTAATTCTTAGGTAGCTTACACGAATTGTAGTCCTCGACAATCGACATACAGTGGTGATGGAAGAAATGTATTTTAATAGGTTGTACATGTTACGTACAAATAGTGATAAAATTAAAACAATGAAACAGCCAAATATAAAAAAGTGTTTCAACAATAAAAAATGTGTTTTTTCAATATTTTGAGATGAGTTATATTTCTTAATTTTACTGAATTTTCTACAAAATACACCACTATTAATGTTGTAAATTATGTGCACTCATATTTTCTTATACAAATCATTCACTAACAAGGTTCCTCCTTCAAATTGACAAGGTCGTATCTCAGCCTAGAGGCCGAGTCATGTGAATACAGCATATGGCTAGAGGCCATGGGATGGTGTTCTAGCGGTCAGTCGGGCTCCAGCAGATTCCTTCGGCATTTAAGGCCAAAGGTCGCTTCTGAACTTCCTTTTACCGTTACTAGCAGAGATTTAAAGAGGAGTTAGGGACCTAGGAGTTATAAATCAAAATTGCAATAAATCCTGTTTTATAGTTGCAGGCAATGCTGCTATTTCAATAAGCTCAATGCATTTATGTAATAGGATGTACTAAGGTTTGTAGCTGTAAATAGGTGGATTAAATGTAGATGAAGCATTTTGAAATCACATAACCAAAAGTTTAAAAATGGTTTAACAAAATTGCAAAGTAGTATTACAAAAACTGCATTGCTAGTTGTAGAGATTACGTATAAAACAAAGTCTGTATAAGAACGCAAACGTGTAAGAGTGGAGTGAGGATAGACTGGGAGCCAAAATGTCCAAGACAACCATACAGTAACTATATTTGCATACTTCCTATGATTTGTCTTGTCAACCATGTAATGCAGCGAAAAGGGACGAGTAATAATGGAAAGTAGGCTAATTTGTATATGATTGTACTAGCAATAGAGCTTGTTGTGGTTAAATACAACGGTCTCTAGAAAAATAACGGTTATATAATCCATACACCACTGTACCCGCTAATAATAATTAATGGTAAACATTAAGCACATAACTTTAGAAACACATACATAACATATGGACACACTTTAACCACGAACTCAAATTGTGAACAACAAAAAGTTAACAAATAACAAATCAAGGAAATAACAATACAACAATCAGCGGTTAAATTATAACACACATGTTCTATATGATCAGATTATGCATACCAGGTGCCTGTTTCATAATAAACTACTGTACAAACTAATATTAAATCAGCTGATCGCCAGATGCAAATATCGCTATTACAAGTTAAAACTTGTAACTTATTGTAGTTTATTATAGATTCATAATTATTTGCAAATCCACACAAGAGTAGATTAGGTTAGGCCCATTGTTTTATGTATCGATGGAACTAACATTTATCATTTACAGTAGTTATTATAATAAATTTTTTCCTTCCGAAAACATAGTTTACAAAATGTGTAAAACACTGATAAAACTCAATAAAAACAATTAAATGGAACAGTCTGCTAAAAACTGGCGTATTTTAAAATTAACTAAAAAAATCTGTACAGTTTAAATGAGCTATTTTACAATATTCAAATGGAACATTTTAAGACATTGTTCAACGTTTTACGTATTTGCGAGTGGCAATCTCGTTCTGTTGAATCAACTACACAAGGATTTTACAGTATCCAATTCGCATAGGTATGCGAATGATGAGGATTTTTGTTAGTGTTAGAATATGAGTCAACGCAACATCGCGTTTATACTGTTCATTGGAGAAATCTAATCTCTAGGCTATGTTAGTTGTGCACTGACCGTGATAGGGTAGAACTCCATGATCTGAGTGCGATAAATGTCACGGGTAAACTTGGGGCTGAGGTCATCACTGTCTGTCACCAGCACCTGCAGGTTGGCTGTGGCTGCTCGAGGAGGCTTGCCTTGGTCCTGCAACAGCGCAAAGAGAGAGAATTAAACATGGTACATAGAAATAGGGAAATTATAAGTGTTGAGAGTGTCAGCTATACAGGGTGTTTTTTTTTTTACTGTGCTCATTGTTAGTAGTATGTGTAGTAGTAGTGTTAGTAGATGTGTTCATTGTTGTTTGGGGTTCGCTGGTGTATTTCGTAAGTTACTCCCAAATCTTGGGAGATCGATACACAAACTATGGCGTTTCAATGATGCAACGTGGCCGTAGCTGAAGAATCCGCAAATCGCAGTACATTATTAACACTATAATTTCATTCTTTGTAAAATTCCATTACTCTTTACCTAAAATCCAAACTATATTGACATAATGAAATCGACAATTTTAATCTGAAATTTTAAAATAATCAATAATTTAACTAGAATTCGTTAATTATTTGTCTTATGACATTTTTAACCTCAATTATAACATTGCCCTATACAAAATCGAGGGAAATTAGATCTATTCGCAATGGTAACAACTACTAGACTAACAGTCCTAGATATTTACAGGGTCGCTAAATCAGAAGATGAGTCGATTATTCAAATAACGAAAGTCCAAAGACCGCTAGACGTTGATAAACAGCTGACCGTGACCCTTGCAGAGTTATGGTAGAAGGTAGAAACTTGTCCTGGCCAGTTGCCGCGAATCTGTTAGTCAAGTGTTGGGGTCAGGGGTCAAATTGTGACCCTTACTCACGGTCATCACTTGCTGTGGGCACCAGGCGGATATCGGCACACTTATCCAACGCCCCTTACAGCTGGTGACTTATGGGAGAGAAAATCGTTTGTTGAATATATTTTAAGGCTCACTTTGAGGGTTAAAGGCGTAATATGTTTATTAGTGTATCCAAAATCGGACACTTTAAATTCTAACTAATGTTATTTGCAGTTGAGTCTACTCTCGACATGAATTTCAATTTTGTTTTATTGATGGGTTTTTCAAACATATATTTTGCATATAAGTTGAAGTTGACATTTGATTTTCTATTAATTAAGTGCTTTTATAGATGCTGTGTTAAGGAAGAAGACAGTTTAAATTTGTGTCAATTGTGTTTTCGCTGACAATGATATTACATATCAGGAACAATTTATTTGAATATTAATTGCTTGATTCATTTAGATCAGTAGATAATTTGATTTAGTTACATCTGCATGGACCAATTACTCAACCTCTTTATATTCGTAACTATGTACGGTTTAAACATTTTTAATAATTTATTATTTTATTTCATGCGTTAATCCTGTATTGCTATCGTGTGCCTTGCATTTCAATCAGTACTCCATGGCTCACTGTGTACCCAGTTAAATTAATAAACAAATTGTACTAAGTAATTTCATCAAACATATTTCAAACACTCTTCTTTTTAATTTCAAAGAATGTACCAACAATTTCATAACTAAGTAAGTGAAACAGTGACATTTTACCACACTGGTGCAAACGACACACTTTTAATTTGCCCGGTTTCGTTGCGGTGTAATATTTCTCTGTCTAGAGTAACCAACACATTCCCGTGAACTGTCTGTTTAATGACATTATGTAACAAAGACACAACTGTCTTATGACGTCACTGTACGTCGCTGCTAATTGTCTTGGAATCCTTGCGCGACAATTACGTTTTTGTCACCTTGCAAACCGGGCGTGACGTTAACCGCGCATTATTTTCTTTATGCACCTAATTGAGTAATTGGAGAAGAAACAGACACATAATTAGTTGAGGAATCTAGTTTTGATTTAGATACCAGTACCATTAAGATGGAGACGTAACTATACGCTGGTTTCGCAGAAGAAAATAGTCCCGATTGATAAAATGTAATAGCATCGTTTCGTTAGGAGCAGTTACTATAATAATAATAACAATAAAATATAACATTTTTATGAACATTAGATTTCAATTTAAGCTGTGTTTGCGAAGTGATAATTGTTGGTTCTAAATTACGGTAACAGCTGTTGTATAAAGTAAGAATTCAAGAAGGAGAGAATTGTTGCCAAAAATTTCGAAAGGTAAACATTGTAGGAAATTATTGTTTTGTGATTTAGTTATCCTGATTGCGCAGTTTAACTAAACATATTGTTCACCACAAGCATATTAGGTTCCGAAATGTGTGTCACTTTAGGCCCTATAGGTGGAATATACCACCTCATACACAGTTAATATTCATGGGAATATCAGTTTAAAGAACAATATTTTTGTGCAAACAAATCCGTCAAAATTCCTCTCAATTCTTTCCTATCTACATAACTTCACCATAAAGAGTTGACAACTAAATTATAAATAAGAATCCGTATAGTATCGCCTATTAATCACATTCAACAGCATATGTAAAAATCCTTCTCCCATTTTAGGATAACGCTTTCTCCTGAACAGGAAAGCATATCTCTTGATGTGACACATTCTGCGACATTTTCGCTAGTTGGTTCCGTTATGCAGATGAGGTGTCCCGCAGGGTAGTAGGCTAGGTCCAGTGTTGTTTGTATGTAGGCGGTATGAGTGACCGCCACCTCTGACCTCTGCCCTCTACCTACAGATGTTTGTCACCTTCGCACACCATCCACAACTGTGTCAACTAGAGAAAGGGGGATTCTCGCACGTTTTTGATCTTCAAAATGTTATGTTGAATTATGAAAAGTGTTGATTAATATTACAAAAAGGATAGTACTGCAGCTCACATTTCATGCATTTATTTTAAATGAAAAAAGAACAGTAGGAGTCTAAGAATTGTACAATGATACAATAACCACATACGAGACTGTTAGTATTAAAATTTGAACAGTATGATTAAACCCTTAAATCATCACACAGCCTACTAGAAGAGTGACAAAAATACAACAGCATTTCACATTAGTCACCAAACATTTTGGGTAAACGTTTCCAAAAGAACCCTAAGAGTAAACGATTACTTGTAATTTACTCGCTTCCTTCTAAAATTCACTCTAATTTGATTTTAGATGTTTGTTTGAAAATTTACTTGAGAAGAATATATTTCCACTAATTTATATCGTTCTTAGTTCTTACACTCTTCAGAGGACTGCACACCATTTTCTATCGCGTAGCCGTTCTGAATCGAGGTATAGAGGATTTCCTGGGAAAATATTATAAAGTTCCTAAGCTAAGACGCTCATGCTAAGTCAACCAAACGCCCGTAAGCCTGTAAACCGATGTTCCACAAATTACCCTCTTAAGTATAAAGCACACAATTACACAGCTCATTCAGTAGAGAGCACGTTATAAACTCAATTACGTTACTCATATGGGAATTAATCACCACAAGCTAACAAGCAATTAGTACGTGAAAGAAATTCAATCATAGTATAATGAAGACATCGAATTATCCGTGTAAATTCAAACAGGTTTACGGTAAGTTGAAAGTTTGGTAGGCCCGGAACGCGATTTTAAAGAGTTAAACGGTCCATAACCGTGGTAATGGCGGCTATCTTCAATCTAACACCTTGCGTATCGTCCCTCCTCTTCTCCTCGCCTCTTCTAGACTCCACGGAGGTAATAGTCCAAGGGTAATCTACAGGCTGCGGTCGGAGGTCGAAATTCCTCCCAGTGCGTAACTGTGAGTTTACGGTGCTCGCGGGAAGATGACACGGCTTTTGAGATTCCGCGGGAAAAGGCCAACCTGGCGGGTCGGAATACTTTGTAAAATGCGGAATTGATAAGTGCAGAAGGAAATGTTTTCGGTGTATTAGGTTTTTCCAACCACAGTTAGATGAAAACTCAGTCTATTATGCCTCCCTGGCGATATTTATGACATTTATAATTTATTTTGGAAAAGGAAGTGGGATGCTCCTTGGATTTAACTGTATTCTTCCTTGCCTAATGGATTCCCAATTTTTTATTGCAGAATCGAAATTACAGTATAACAACTCTAAATCATTGTGAATATTACAAAAATCTAATTGTTAATAAAATGCAACTGAATTTGACTATTTTTAGTGTTAGCCTGTTACGTTTTAAAAAATTATGCCTATAAAAATGTTTTCACTTACAAGTATATTTTAATAAAAAATTGAAACATGGTCCAAACATGGTGTTTAAATGTGTGTTTACATATTTTAACTGTGTATATTTACATTTGAATTTAAATTCAATTGACTAAAATTGAAAAATGTATATTTTAAAAAAAATAGACATAACACTTGAATAGAATGGAATGGATGTTGATCGCTTCCTGGTGTTTTACTTCTTTGTTTTGCTGCTCCAAACATTTGCATTTTTCAGTTGTTGCTTCTTTCGAGGTTTTCTAATAGTTTCCTCAGATTCCTTCCCAACTAGAGACGGAAATTCTTGATCACAAAACAAGCAAAAAAAACTGCAGTAATTCTTTGAACAACTTGCAAATAATTCCTATACTTTATTTACGAGCATAGTTTGTTAACAATTTCCGTTTCTAACAACCGTTTTAAGTTATCTGATCTAGGATAAAAGTGCTACGGTCCCCAAAGACCCGGGTAAAAATCTCGCCAATTAATTGTGGTCTTCCTTCAACATTTAAAACAAGATTTTAATTTTTTTTCGTTTGCTGTTTTTGAGAAGAAATTACATGCAAATTCAACAACAAAAACTTTATGGGTAAAGTAATGATTCTGAAACCATACAAATATACCTATATTGTATGGTTTGATGTAGTTCTGACGTTTAGTTTACATTGTGTGAATTTTTTAAGTCAGTAGCAGGGTAGATTAATTAAATTAATTATATTTATTTTCCCGAATTAAAAAGATATATTATTATTTTTGATACCCTAAAACGGGGGTTTCTACCTTCCAGCCGCCATAAAAAAATTTTAAACAAGCTATTTTTTTTTGTTTTTACAGGAATACGTAGAATATAACAAAAAAAATTAAATATACTCCGTGTTTTTCTAAGTAGTTTGGTTACTTTTCTGTAGAGCTTCAAACTCGAGTGTCTAAACTTCTTCCCCCGACATGGTGCCTGGTCTAAAGTAGTGGCCAAAACGATTTCAAACTAGAGCCTAGAGTCCTACGATGTAAAGGTAGGACAAAAACGAAAGCAAGGTGCTGTAGGTACTCACGGCCGCCATGATGGTGAGGTTGAAGGCAGTGTCTCCGGTGTCAAAGTCCAGAGGTTTCCTGAGCACCAGCGCGGCCCGAGGAGAGTTCTCCAGCGTAAACTTGCCCTTGTCGTTGCCGGCGACGATGGCGTACTGCAGCTCCGAGTTGGGGGTGTTGGGCTTGTCTCCGTCCACGGCGTGAATACCTCGGAATATCGTGATACCTGGGACATCAACAGGCGTGTTAGAACACTCACAGGCAAGTTGTGAATACGTACATGCATGATTGGACACGTAAAGACATGTCAGATCACTATTAATACATGTTTGAGTACGTACAGATATGTTGGAACGCTAAAAGACATTAGCCATATTAGATCACGTACATACATGTTAGAAGACGTACAGAGATATAAAATACGTGCACTTCAAACAGAAAACTATCTGTAACAAATTATGACAATAAGGATGCACTAGTACCACAAATTGGTCAGCCAATATCCTAATTGTATGACATGTAAAACTACTACTGGCCAACTTCAATTTTTTGTAAGAAATGATAATTATTAGAATCTACATAAAAACGTAATTTCAGTTATTTTCACAAATATCTCTTTGAAACATTCCCTTGATTTATAGATTTACTAGCTGTAACCCGCGGGCTTTGCCCCGTTTAACTTCTTAATTTTCAAGATTATCTCGTTCGTATGGCTCAATCACGTCCTGGTTGAAGTTTGTTCGCTACGCTCACTCACCTTTAGGTTGGAGCTCGTTCGCTACGCTCGCTCACCTTTAGGTTGGAGCTCGTTCGCTGCGCTCACTTGCCTTCAGGTTAGCTCGTTCGCTACGCTAACTCGCCTCCAGGTTGAAGTTCGTTCGCTACGCTCACTCACCTTTTGGTTGCAAATTAGCTGTTGTCATAAATTAATGTAAAAGAAATAATAGTGCTGCACCCTGTTGGTAATCCTTGTAACTTTAATGCTATTGAACATCAGAGAACAGAACCAACTTGTTTAATTGAAACAGCTGTTAAGATTCAATAATTCCATTTCTCATAAGGTTAACATGGGAAACTCCAGAGCCACTGGGGCGGAGCCCGAAAGGATTTTTGAAATAAGAATATGCCTATATGTTAATCGGGAATGTGAGCTATCATCATGCCAAATTTCAGCCCAATCCGACCAGTATTTTTCGCGTTCACTTGTCACAAACATCCAAACTTTCTCATTTATAATATTACTAGCTGTAACCCGCGGGCTTTGCCCCGTTTAACTTCTTAATTTTCAAGATTATCTCGTTCGCATGGCTCAATCACGTCCTGGTTGAAGTTTGTTCGCTACGCTCACTCACCTTTAGGTTGGAGCTCGTTCGCTACGCTCACTCACCTTTAGGTTGGAGCTCGTTCGCTGCGCTCACTTGCCTTCGGGTTAGCTCGTTCGCTACCCTAACTCGCCTCCAGGTTGAAGTTCGTTCGCAACGCTCACTCACCTTTTGGTTGCAAATTAGCTGTTGTCATAAATGTAAAAGAAATAATAGTGCTGCACCCTGTTGGTAATCCTTGTAACTTTAATGCTATTGAACATCAAAGAACAGAACCAACTTGTTTAATTGAAACAGCTGTTAAGATTCAATAATTCCATTTCTCATAAGGTTAACATGGGAAACTCCAGAGCCACTGGGGCGGAGCCCAAAAGGATTTTTGAAATAAGAATATGCCTATATGTTAATCGGGAATGTGAGCTATCATCATGCCAAATTTCAGCCCAATCCGACCAGTATTTTTCGCGTTCACTTGTCACAAACATACATCCATACATCCATATATCCATACATCCAAACTTTCTCATTTATAATATTAGTAGGATATATATATATAGATATATATATATATATATCTAGTAGGAAGGATATAATCCAAATTAATGATTTTCTCAACATTTAACGTAGGCTTTCAAATATTATTGTTGTTCATCAGTACAATCCTACTATAAACAGAACCGATTACGTATTATCACAGACAAAGTCCCATCATCAATATACGAGCAATTTTCACGGGTTAAGACGTTATTTCCATCATGTGATTTCGTTTCCGTTTCTCTGAATGCAGTAGTGCCGTTTTCAAATTAATACCTAGATCTGTCCAGATTGGCGAGCCGTCGAACATGATATTAGTAACCGATCCTCAAACGCACTAAACCAGTTATACATATTAATCTGAACGATGCTTTATTTGGAAACTCGTGCGATAAGTTGATCTGGTTGTGGATTGCAATAGTTTATCGCTCGTGTAATTTGCCAGGTTTTGCGGTGGAGGAGGATCAGGTTCTACAGGATGTTCTAGTGTTCTAATGATGTACTTTTCAGATAAATACGAACGAATCGCATCTTTCTTCCCATCCAAAGCCGGTAATGAGTGAAACAGTATCCTGTGTACTTTCACTGGCGCTCCTTAGTGCAAGGACGGTCGGCGACAACTTGTTTGAGACCTTGTCAACTTGTCAGCATTGTTTGCATACCTTGGATGTAAAGCTGCTAAAATCAACCAAAGAAAGCATCTATTGTCAGAATTCTTTATATTTAAAACAGCATGTTTTGATTGAATACTTTTTGGTGTGGGGATATATGACTTTGGAGTTAGGGGTTTATACTTGTAAACATGCAACTGCCAATATTTAGTATGGTCATATATCCATCCACTGCCTTGGGCTTGATATTTGTGTATGGAAGCATCAATCTTTGAAAGTGCATTTTCAATTTGAGGCTTTAAATCTCTCTTCTCAATAGTTAAGGTAGTAAGGCTTCGAAAATCTGCTATACATTCTTTTTCATTAACTAATTTACCATTTTGATCCATTGAATATTTTATAAATTTGATTCTCCTAACTAAAGTCCATTTTATCGGTAGAGGACAAGACTTCAGAGTATTTTCAAGGTCAGTTCTAATCGATTCACCAACAAATTTAATCATTGTGTATGGACATTTCATGCAAGAATTAACATGTCTTTTAAAATGTCCAACAATATTCGTTTTACAGAAATTACAACTCTTGTGACTTTGTAATATATGCAATTTTAGAGCAATGTTACTATCACAGATTAAATTACAAACTTTGCACAGTTTCACCTTCATTTGATGAATTACCTTGTAGTGACGAATCATATTACTTTTGGTGGAGAGCGACACGGAGCAGTGTTGACAGGTGGGCCTCATTTTTATATATAACAAAAAAATTTGTGTCACTTCTATTTATAGACTTTTCGAAAATTTCAAAATTTTGGAAATTTTAAAAATTTTCAGCTAGAAATTAAAAATTTGTAAAAATTACTTCAACAGATCCAAGACTAGCAAGGAGCAAGCCCAAGTGAGTGACGTTTTCACCACGTCACCACTAGGGGCAAGAAACAACCATGAGCCGGGAGCATGCCCACGCCATGAGCCGAGTTCGCACATACATGATTTTGAAATAGAAATATAATATATCAACTGGAAAGGGGAATGGTAGATGTACTAGCAATTGTGCATGGGGCAGAGGGGAGTGGTGAGGGGGTGAGGGGGGGGGAGTTGGCCCAAAAACCCCGCACCCCAAAAAACGGCAGCGACAACCTATACTACTATACATATACACATGCATGGGTCAATAAATGAAATAATTAGTTTTTTTTTTATTTTTTGCTTAATATCGAATATATTTATAGGGAATAACTAAGAAATAAGGTTTGACAATTTTATAGGGATATTTGGGCAAAGATCAGGATTTTTGGAATTGGTGGCCAAAAAATGATCCCCATAAGAATAACATGGGAAAAACATGTCTAAAGTGAGGTAAAACCGGCAGTTCTCCACTACTGACTTTGTGCAGAGTTTTTAAGTCAAAGAATGATTCAAAAACATTTTTTTACCCTTGGTTATTTTGGGCAGATTTGGAATAAAATGTGCTATATTTACCGATATTTTTCTTTAAAATTTTTGAATATTGTTTTTAATTGTAAAATCAAATTTGTAAATGGTACAGCCATGAAGTACCTTGTTAGATTGTTATTTCTGTACACAATACTTCTCCTTAATATGATTGTTTGAAATATAATTAAATTGAAGAAATGCATATTCTATCAAATAATGTGAATAAATAATTGTATCAAAGCATTGTGAAAACGTTAGCTAAAAAGCTTCTCGAGCCACAATAAAATAACTGGTTACAGGTTGCAGCTATAGCTGCATTAGTTATGCAGATACAGATGCAGGTATGAGTTGATCGTTAACTTATTTAGGCATTTTGAAGTCTTGGAAACTGTTTGACATAACAAAACATTGTACTTCAAATTCGAGGGTAGACGGGAGGCTTTTAGTTGAAAATTCCCAGTTTATTGCAGAGACAAACTTAACATACAACTTCCAACGGATTACTAAACGGTTAATTGTTATTTAACTGTATAATATAAGGCTAGACCTCTAAACTTTGACTACTAAACACACATAAACTAGTCGTAAAGCGTGTTATTCGGCGAGAACAGTAAATTGAACTGTCAAAGTAGATACAGTGTATCAGCTATACTGGTTGATTTGTTTGTACAATGGAGAAGTGTGTGAACCGAGTGGGAAAGTAGTCCCAAGATATGATGTCAGTCAGCTGTAACATTACTGTCACTCTCCCGCCAAAACCTCACAAAACAGCTGTTACATTAGTGCAGTTCTTCCTCTGGACAAAGCTTTGCTAAGAAACAAATGAGGTACTGGTAATATAATGGTTATTTAAGTTCTATTTAATTGGTGTTTTGGGAAGGTTTTAGGCGAAAGGTAGGTTGCACCATACAGTTACAGTAAAAATAGTTTTTGGGTTATTTGATGAAATTAAAAAACAAACTTTCAGGAAGAACAAGATTCAAAGAACTACTATGTACTGTTTACATTGTGTACTATTAATGCAAAATTATATTCTATTCTGTTTTGTCTTTTATATTTATTTGCCCGTTTGTTGGGTTATATAGTTGTTTATGCATATGACTCTTTTTTAAGATCTTCCAGTCAGAAAAAAATAACGCCTAATGTATGTATTAACATTATATGTACTCGAAAACAATTGTTTACAAACATTTGAAAGCATGTACCAAGAGTTTATCTATAATCAGATATGGTTTATATTTATTAGATATGGCTTAAAAGTTAAAAACCTCAGCAGCATTGATCGCGCTATTTTATACATGAACTTATTTACGGCTTTAGACATCACCTTGTAAGTCAAATAATAACTTTTCAAATCTTTTTTACACAGAGAAGGAAGGGTACCCCATATTTATTTTATGTTGTTATACAAAGTATACACTATACACACCTGTAGGGGTGAGCTCGTCCACGCTGACCTTGTACGGGGTGTTCAGAAACTCTGGGTCGTGGTCGTTGACGTCCTCTACATACACAGTCACTGATAGATACGACATTATCTGTGTAACAAACGTCATGTTTTAGTTGTTATAACACACATCTTGAACTCAGATATCAGTCTAGTAGTATGCTAGGTATTTTTATAGGATTTGCTATTGATATTATAACCTAAATGTACCCAGGTACAATTGGAACTAAGATTATTCAATTAACCTATCTTTGACACATTTTTCATGTGTTTCTTTAACGGTTGGGTCTCTTAAACAAGAAAGCCGTCACTATTTTACAGTGTGATGCAGCGTTTAAGTTAGGTTAGGTTAGCTTAGTACAGTTCATTTCACGTAGTTTATGAACCTCATCATCGAATAGCCAGCATAGAAAGAAATGGAATTAACTTACTAATACAACAGCAATTAGATGGCCATGAAATTACTAGGATTTTTACAATATTCCATTTTTGTTGCTACATTGAAGGATATCTCATTGAATATAGAATTTTACGTATTATTTTTAGTTGGTCGACCAAATTCGCTCTTAATTCAGCGACTTGTGATTACAAATAATAATGTATAGGTGTTTTCCATATGTAAAAACAAGCATATGTAATCTTTGGTAAAAGTTGAAATATTTCATTCCAGAATAAAAATTGCGTGTTTACTTCTGGATATTTCAATAATTACGACTAAGGGGTTGTACACCTTGCAAAATCGCTCAAGTATATACCACTAAGCATCAGTAGACTTACCGTGTCGTCACCATCGTCATAGTCACACACCAGTCGCAACTTGAGCACATTTCTGGGGTTGGGAGAGTCTACAAGATCCTCCAGTGACTGAGCCAACCGTACAGACACTGTCGTCTTGTTGATGGCCCTGTACCTGAAGAACTCGACATCCTCCGCCTGCGAAACCAAGGGACATCACTAAATATAGAAGTCCTTAACTTGTGTCTTATTTATCAAGTTTTCTCTAGAAGTAGAAGAGGGTAAAGCTGGTTTGTGCTAGACTCTTACCGGTTCATATCAAAGAAATCTTCAAGGCTTAATTATGATTCAAGACTGTATGATTGGATTCTTAATTCATGAAATTAATATTCTGGCTAAAGATTCTACGAGTCTTAGGTGCGCAAGCCAAAGAGAGGACAAGAGGACATAGTGCCTAAGCATCTTCACCTTAGGAGAGCAAGATTGTCTAATGGTAGAGCGCGGGACTCTGGCCTTTGAGGTCCATGGTTCAAATCCTGATAATTCCCAATGCATTTTATCTGAGTGGTAGTCCCGCAAAACCTAGCCAAGCCTGAAGTAATGTGCAGAATGGTTCCGGGCTAGAACCTACATCCTATAATGTAAAGATAGGACCAAAAAGCATCTTCACCCCAGAAAGGTCGCGTAACCTCTGGTGGCAGCTCCCCAGATATTTGACATCGGTTGACTAACAAGAGACGTTTCGGTTGAATTGGGAAATGCTATGTGTGAACATTTTTGCGTTCAACTCACGGTTCAACTATTAACAATCGTTCCCCGTACCCTTTTAATTTACAAACCCGTTATGGGGTTCTAAGAACTAGTCGCGGTATAAGCGAGCAAACAAATATGAATGAATAGGAGTAAATTGAGTGTAAACATTAGGTATTGCAACAATATCAAGCATTGCTGAGAGTCATGCTATAGTAGTCAGTCGATGGAGATGACTATGCAAAGATCATTGACACATTCTCTCGGCCTTGGGTCCTGAGACCTTGAACCACCGCAACCTGTTCTACAGTCCTCCTCGCCTCCTCGTCCTCTGGCTTTCTTTCCGGCCTTCGCCCAGCTGGGTAGTTTAATCTTATCCCCTTTTGAAGATTTATTGCATTTTGCGTGTGCGTAAATTTTAATATTTTCGTTATTGGTAGAAACCATCGACAATGACAGCCTCTTTACTAGTGTACACGTTTCGTCTTATAACCGTATGAAGGTCTCGTTTTTGTAACAGTCCACTGTTTCTCGCTAGACTTCAAGCAAAAATATTTAGAAGTTAGAGTTATTGCAACTTTAATTTTAGAACAAGTTTTGATGATACACATTGACTTTGCAAGCAACAGAGTTTAGTTTTGTAAAAGTGACAAGACGCTAAAAAAATCGTTTGTTTGTCGTAGGTTGTTCACCTACAATAAAAGAAACGATCTTCAAAACAAATCATGGACCAATATACGTAACCAAAATATTAAAGGTAACGCCTTAGCTATGCTATTCTATGCAATAATAAATTATTGTAAAATAGTATAGGGTAAACTTCACATAGGAACTAATATAAGTTTAAAACACTCTTCTACATTAGCTAACTATTGTTTAAATGCGAAAACGACTGTACCTATTTGTTGAGAAAATTTTCATTACTGTACATGGTTGACTTTTCTGTTTGACAAAGAGTAAGTCGAAAATTTCCTTCGTTTTAACAATAAAATGTGAACATAACATACAGCAGGCTCATATAATAATGATGAAGAATCCACACTAAACTAAGCCCAATTAAACCCCAAAGTTAACATTAAGACTTACCTTATCTACTGGTTGTATGGTGAGGTTGCGACGAGGATGCACCTCTACTTGTAGCACTTCCCCTCCAACAGGGAGGGACTCCGGGACACGGACAAACCTGAGGTACTCGCCCGCCGGGTAGAACTGGCATCCTGTAACACCACACACCGAGGGTAACAAGAGATATAAACTGTATAATACACGGACCCGGACAAACCTGAGGTACTCGCCCGCCGGGTAGAACTGGCATCCTGTAACACCACACACCGAGGGTAACAAGAGATATAAACTGTATAATACACGGACCCGGACAAACCTGAGGTACTCGCCCGCCGGGTAGAACTGGCATCCTGTAACACCACACACCGAGGGTAACAAGAGATATAAACTGTATAATACACGGACCCGGACAAACCTGAGGTACTCGCCCGCCGGGTAGAACTGGCATCCTGTAACACCACACACCGAGGGTAACAAGAGATATAAACTGTATAATACACGGACCCGGACAAACCTGAGGTACTCGCCCGCCGGGTAGAACTGGCATCCTGTAACACCACACACCGAGGGTAACAAGAGATATAAACTGTATAATACACGGACCCGGACAAACCTGAGGTACTCGCCCGCCGGGTAGAACTGGCATCCTGTAACACCACACACCGAGGGTAACATGGAGGTTGACCAAACCAGGGTACAAACATAAGGAGATATAAACTGTATAATACACGGACCCGGACAAACCTGAGGTACTCGCCTGCCGGGTAGAACTGGCATCCTGTAACACCACAAACCGAGGGTAACATGGAGGTTGACCAAACCAGGGTACAAACATAAGGAGATATAAACTGTATAATTGACGTGCTCCTATCACGTGGCATATACAAACCTCCTAAGAAAAATTTTACCAACGTTCACAATCATCGATCGAATCGGTGATGCCACGGATTAGGAGATTACAGTTTAGTTCCCATCTGCTGTTGAAATGCAATTTTTGGGTAGCTGATTGGTTATAGTACTCGTCTGATCATTTAAAGGTAGCTGGTTCAATCCTAAATGTTAGTAGATTGTGATTATTTATCCTTTTTCCTGGCTAATGCAAATCTGGTATAGTTAGAAACAAAGCTACACAGATTATCTCACTATATTATTACTCTATTACTATTACTCAACAATACAAGGAGGACGCGTTGTTGTCAAAGAATTTCATAGAACTAAATAAAATAAAGGTAAACACACCGATAGTCATTTAGGGTTATGGATAAAGATGGATAACAAATTGACATTAAGTAAAGATAACGTTACCAAAGACAATGATCTGTTTGCAAACAGGTGAAATTAAACTACCGATCTGGTTTATAAGTTGTTTAATCCTTTCTCTCTCGCTCGGCAGCGGTTCACTTTCGACGAAGGATGTAGGTATAATAACATGTATTATCGCCATGTTATAGCAGTGAACGTCCTGAACACGGCTTCAGTACGGTTGCTGCTCTAGATAAGTTAGCACGTGTTTACCTTTTACAAAAGATCAAACTGGTGGTACACACCATCAAACTGGAGGTACAAACCATCAAACTGGCGGTACAAACCTTCGTACTGGAGGTACAAATCATCAAAATGGAGCTACAAATCATTAAAATTGAGGTGCAAACTATCAAACTGGATGTACAAATCATCAAATTGAAGGTACAAACCATCTAATCTAACTGGAGATACAAATCATCAAACTGAAGGTACAAACCATTAAACTGGTGGTGCAAACCATGATTACTCTATCATATCCGTGTGTTGTAAGGATTTTAAAAGGACCAAGACTGCCAAGACTGAGGGCTTATAGTGTGGGGATTTAGTCCTAAAGGATTGATTTTTAATCCCGCAAATCATTGACGACTTTTGGCTAGTGAGCATTACAAATTTGAACGCTTGAAACAACTTTGAAAGTTTTGTTAACTATCTGAGTAAATATCCCGTACTTCATCTTATATTCACTTTGTAAGTATTAAGATGGTCTCAATAGTTAAGTAATTTTGGATAGAAAAATAGCTAAATTATGTTGAGTGTTAATTTTTCATTAGGTACTGAACATCACCTTTGCAGTTAACCGCGACAAATAAACTGACAGATAAACTTTCTTCCAGTTACGCTGGCATACATCTGTCATTTAGTGCCATTACAAACACAGGTCCCATTAGGTGGCTGAACACAAGAAGGCCTTTACGGAGAAATCGTGGATAATTGCATACATTGCATTTCCGTTCCTGCGAGTTCCCTCTTCATCAAGCCTCCTGCGTGTGTAGCCACTAGATATGTCTAGATATGTATAGAGCCTACCCTAGCTCCATCGGTTATCGTATGCATTATCCAATTACAGAACACCTCATTAACAATTGTGTTGCTCTGGTAATAAATTAAGTCACTCCATTATCTGTTTTCCCCGCTGTCATGTTTGAGTTGCAGTATTGTTTATTGAAGTTTTGTACCGCTTATGATGGTTTTGATTAAACGTATCAGAAGGCTATACTTTGCAAGGGGTAATTAATGACAATACCCTACTTGTTATTTTGTTGTGACAAATTTTTTGTATTTTTGTATAGGGTGTAACATTGTGAACACTTTTTTTACCAAATGTGGCGGAACTTATAATTTCTTGAATTTTAGAATAATACTATTTGGTGCGTTCAGCTGAATTCCAACTATCCAGTTTTTGCCAAAAATATACATTTCCTATATACATTTACAAATTAACATTATCAATTAGGATTGGCCAGAAATATTTTAAGTCTCAGATATTTAGGGTAACGTTTTGAAAACGAGGTAATAATAAATTTAAAAGGTTTTACTGTAATGACGTGACAAATAGATTTTAAGATTTATAAGCAGAAACTCAATGACTAAATTTAAGGCTCTTATTACCATAAATGTGTACACCACAGAAACAATATAGTAAAAATTCATTTTGTGTCTATTTACTTTTTTCAATTTCACACTATTATTTTTCCTCCTGTTTTGTGTGACGTAATTGAGCATTATATCAACTTGATTTTTTTATTCTAATACAGTACCAATAACACGGGTGTTTCACTACGCTTTGAGTTTTAAGTTTTAAGTTGAGTCTTACATCTTACGACTTTGACATTTTCAATTCCCTTTTGTCTCGACACTGAAGTTTTCACGCTCAATAAAGTAATTTAGATATAGTTTTGAGTCAACAATAGACTATAACCTAGATCCAGTTATGCCACTGGACCAAGGACATTCTAATTATATCTTTCTCTTTCTTTCTCTTCGTCTTGGTCAACTGTCCTTTATCAAGATCGTCCGACAAATTATGTAAGTAATAAAATTAGTCGTGAAATTGTTGGACAATTGGCCTTCATTGTTTTCTGGATTATCTCAACAGTTTGGTGAAAGTTTGTTTTGTTGCGTCGATGGATTAGTCGTAAGTTACTGTGTTGCGCAAACTAACTGTTTAGTTGGCAATTGATAGTTAATTGGGACTGTATCTATTAAAAATATTTAAAATACTATAACGTAGCTAAAGTGGTAAAGCGTTAAAACCATTGGAATGCTGATTGTAGTAATTCGTTTAACGATTTTTGCTAATGCATGAAAGAACTCATTTTTGTAACCACTTTACTACGAGCATAGACTAACCAACACAAGTAGACTTCCCAGCTCATTGTAAATTTTGTAGCTCATTTTTCGTGTCTAGTTCATGTCCGGTGGCTCTGATCGCTAGTGTCGACGAAATGTTTTCGATTATTTTAGGGTAATTTCATGATTTGTGATTTGCTGTTTGGTTAAATAGCTAGGGGACGAGTTATTGTTTATGATTGGATAGTTTTATTTGGCTAAGCGAGGTTTTAAATGCTGAAGAACACGACCTCTACAGTGCACAGGACAGAACTAACAATAACATTGTCTTCAGCTAATCCATAAGGACGAGAAATCTACTAATCTGTTTATCTGTTTACTGTCTACTAATCTGTTTTTAGTATGTTTATCTGTGATATTAGCCCTTCAAAAATATATCAACCCTAAATTAATTATTTGTCGTTAATTTGCAGTAATTTAGGGAGAAATAGACAATTTAATTATATTTTGACGATTACTAGGTCAGAACTAGTTTAAATTTAATAAACTACGTTAAAAGCGATTTAAACATAAATATTACCAAAAACAACAAGCATAAGTAACCATTTTGTTACAAACTCGATATGTTACGTAAACAGCAATCTAATTCTTTACTACCCACTCAACCAAAATATATAACTCCTGAGTGAAAATTCCAAATAAAACTAAAGCCCAACGACCTCAGTCACGTTTATAAAACCCTCTCACTTTGTTACACAATTAAAACCCCTTAAACTCTTTAGGGAGTAAATGGCGAAAGATTGTCACATAAAACCAGACATCCTCAGATATGAGTCGGAAAATGTCGCGCCATAACAGTTCCAGTTGGTGACGTAAGGGTAACCTGGATCAAGTAGACATCGCTCATTCTCACCTTCCTGTACAAGTCACCCTGACAAGTGCAGGAAACCAGGACATTACTGGGCAGGTGAACGTGTTGGAAGAGAGTAATGTATGTGTGGTAGATTTATTCCTACAATTCCCTTGTGGTTGCTTCATTTAATTGGTAGGAAACTTGCGTTACAAAATAATAGATCCGCGCAATTGTGACATAAATACCGTAGGTTCGTAGTTTTCGATGTATGGCAAACTTAAAAATGTATTAATCTTTTTATCAACTGTGGTGAAGTCAAGTCACCTTGAAGATGTTAATCTACATTGAGGCCTAAACGTTGGTGAGGAATGAGGTTTCATCGTTTTGTACAAGGTCGTACCGGAAAACCCCTTATCTACAGAAAGAAATCGTGAAAACCCGATTGGTTTGTTTTAAAGATAAATTTTTACCTATAGAAATAGATTGAACAAGATATGAGTAGTTCGTCCTCAATTATAATCTAAAAACCTTCGTTTTAATCTTTCAATTTGTGCTATCAATAAATATAACAATAGGTCAACTAACAATAGGGGTTGGGCCGATTACAAAAAACTTACAACAAGCTATTTGTGTTGTTACATATTAAATACAATCGAAAACCAAACAAAAGTCACTTTAAAACTAGAAAATTGTCATTCTTTTACACCACACTTCAGCTTGCATACTAGAAACATCTCCTCAAACATGACCCTTTACCATTTGAATACTCGCTAGCCAACTGCAGTAGATTCTCATTATCCACCTATATGAATGTTAAACATGCTTATCGTAGAGACGGAAGGCGCTATGCAGCTGTACACGACTACTGCACGCTGTTCATGTGATGTGGGGGACACATAAGTGCTGGAGTCATGCTGGGACAAGGTTATTAATTGCAACTGTCCCTGTGTACCTCCGTACACGGCATTGCACTTGAGCACCCAGAATGTGGAACGTTGCCGTTTACACGCCCAGAAAGAGTCCCATTCTTTCACCCAGAGAAATGCAGCTCCTTAAGGAGAAGTATGCTGTGCCAAAGCTTTATCTCACGTTCAGCGCTGTATTTGGTTAAAGTATTCAGAGGTCAAAGTGACTTTCTCTAATAAAATACTTAGCAGTGGGGTTAAATGTAAAAGATCAATGCTAATGTCTACGAAAAGTAGACATAAGAATTGATATAAAAAGTGCCTTGCTTGTGTAACATTTACACGCACAACATAGAAAAAGTAGGAACTAGATATTTATTTATTTATTCATATCAACTGATACAAAGATTTTTTACAAAAAAATC